GCAAGCAAAGCAAAAGGTAACTTTTCATGTCAATCTTTATATGTGTTAGTCATTTTTCTCAATATTCTCTTGATGTTCTTATTTGCAGCTTTCACTGCACCATTTATTTTTGGGCAATATGGTGCTGAATGATGATGCTTGATCTTGAACTGTGCACATAATTCTTTCATCATTTTATTGTTTAAATTGTCAGTATTATCTGATATAATCCTTTTCGGGAGACCATATCGACATATTATCTCTCTTTTTATAAATCTACACACCACTGATCGTATAATACTAGTATACGAAGCTGCTTTCACCCATTTTGTAAAATAATCGATTACCACAAAGATAAATCGATGCCCATTTAAAGCTTTTGGGGCTATGGATTCGATCACATCCATTCTTTAGATAGAGAAAGGCTATGGTGGTGTCAAGACGTGTAACGGGACTGAAGGGGAATGAATTTTATCTGCATAAATTTGGCATTTGTGGTACTTCTTAGCATAACTGATGCAATCATTTTTCATTATAGACCAGTAGTAACCAACTCTCATGATCTGTTTGACCATCATATGCCCATTAGCATGTGTTCCACAAATTTCTTCGTGTACTTCTTCGTATACATAACTTACATGTAATTTATCTTTTATTATCCAATTGAATTATTAGACATTTTTATTTTTAAAAAGAAAACTTATCAATGCAACCCCAAATTCATTGATAAATATATATATATGAATAACGATAAAAAACTTTATCAACAACAATTTTGCCTTTGCAAATCATACAATATTCAAATTAATAGCACTAAATTTCCACAATAAACAAACAAAACTTAGCAAAATTCTTGCACCTATTTGAATACCCAGAACTTGGACTTGTTGCTCTTGTAATCATAACCACAAATTGGTTAAAAAGGTTTCGAGTTGAAAGAGAATGAAAATGGTTGAAAGCTAAAGAGTTCTCCATTTTGCGTTAAAAGTGTCTAACGATTTTGGGATCGCCAGACGTAAAATATTTTAAAATCGAGAAAAATAAAAGGGAGTCGCCACTAATCTTTGTTAGGGTGTGATTGGCCACTAATCTTTGTTAGGGTGTGATTGGCCACCTAAAAGTTTATCTTTTTAATAAAACTATAAAAACGAGTTTAAAGTTTATCAAAAAGATAAATTTTGATCTACGAAAAATCAGGTTGGGTTCGAGAATCGATTACATGTGAGGAAGGATTAGCATCCCCACAACGCCCATAAATTGGTACCATTTAATTACGTGCTATTTTCGATGTTAGATAAAAATGGTTTTAATTTGACATTTAACACTAATTCCTTTCATTTGAAAAAATAAAATTTTGCTAAAATTTTTATTTAGAAATATTGAAAAAATCTTTAAGTTAAAGAATTATCTTAAAATTCTCTAATATCTAGGCAGAATTTAAAATAACTATTTTCGTTTAAGATTTAGCATAATAATCCTTAAAATGAAATAACAATCTTTATAAAAAATAATTGTTAGTGACTCTCCAACATCTAGGCAGAGTACCAAAAATTATTTCTTTCGGAATGTTAATTTTATTTTATTTTATAATATCATAAAAAAAATTTTCAAGTATTATTCATTTTTATTTATAAAATATTTTATCATCAAATAGTAAATTAAAGAGAGAATAATGCAGACAATTATCAATGATAATATGTTAACATATATATGCTAATGAATGTTATGTAAAATGAAATGCAATTTAAAAGTTAGGTTCTTAAGTATAATGAGATCACCCCGACTCTCTAATATCTAAGCAGAGCTTATGTATGACTGTTTATATTTACGATCTCAATTTACTATTATACTTTTTATTTATTAATCTTATTATTAATGTGAATTAAGTACTCGTGTGAAAAACTTAATGAAATGGAGTTTCCTAAATACCTCATCATTTAGGCAGTATTCGATAACAAATCATTTCATGTGAGATTTTCACATGTATCCTTAAGATTTTGAAAAAGATTTAGGGTTTAAGTTTGAAGTTTAATTAAAATGCGAACATCTCTAAAAACTCCAACATCTAGACGAACTTTCGAAGCAAGTTTAATTTCTATAATTTTTGAAAATTAATAAAAATTTTCTTATATATTTCTTTTTATGAAAATTTATTAATAATAATTCTCCAACATCTAGGCGAAATTATTTCTTTAGAAAAATATTTTTTATTCCCTCCAACATCTAGGCAGAAAAAATAATAATAATTATTCTATTATTATTATTATTATTATTATTATTATTATCTTAAGCATTTTTAATATATATTTTTTATTATTATCTTACTTACTTTCATTTTTATTATTATTAAAACAATTAAATATTTATCCTAATAAATTTAAACATTTATCATGCATAAATATAAAAAACTTAAAATAACAAAAATAATAATATATAAAAAAATTATAAAAATTAAAAAAAAAATTTTACCTGAACCGGTAGGTTAATGGTTTAGTCAAAGCTAGTCAAGGCTAGTCTGACCGGTTTGGGCGATCCAACGGTTCAGATCGGTTCACCTGCGATTCGTCTGAACTGGTTCTAGGCTTGCTGAAACGGGTCATCGGATCAGGTTACGTGGATCTCAGGTCGAATTTGATCCACGCGCGGATCCTCTACACTTGAAACGGCATGATTTTGGTCTTATGCTCAAAATGATGTCATTTTGCCTTTATGTTTTCTATAAAAATCAGATTTTTTTTTTCAATTCAGTTCACCATTTGGTAGAAAAAAAATTTGCAGCACTTTGAGTTTTCTCTAGCTCAATCAAAATTCGGCATCGTGCGCTGCGTCGGTCGTCATGCGGGTCACCGTCGGCAGTGGTCGTTGGTGACCGAAAAAGGTCAGAAAGTAACCAAAAATTTCTCTCGACGCCCTCTTTCCAGATCTGGCTCTCTTTTCTCCAGAAACAGTCCCGATCGTCGTAGATCAGGTTTGAAGTTTTTTGCCTTTTTCTTTTTTTAGACTAAAACTGATCTATTTTTTTTGTTTTTGCAGGGAGTTCGGGGCTGAGGTTCTTCCCTATGAGGATGACTGTTTGTCTTTGTTTTTTGTTTCTGTTTTTGTGTTTTTGTTTGGGTATGGGTTTGGTGAGGGTTGTTTGGAATTTGGATTTTTTATGTATGGGGATGGGGGTTCTATCTGGGGCTGTTGAAGGTGTTTTGAGGGGGGTAGTTCATCTGAGCTTGAAGGTTTGTCGTGGGGGTGGATTGAATGGCCCTTTTTTTTTTTTTTTCAGAGAATGACGATACTGGGAAGGGGCTGAGGGTTTTAAAGAGCTTCAAATAGAGGGATCTGGTTGGATGTAGGTGGGCTGAACAGGGGGCTGGTCAGGGGCTGGATAGGGAGTTGGTCGAGGGCGACAGCGGCATCGTACCAACCCTCTGATTTCTGTCTCATTTTCTTTTCTTTTTTTTAAATATTAATTTTTTAAAATTATTATTATTAAATTAAAATGAAATAGTAGACCCGGACAAAATCGATATATATATAAAGAGAACAAAATGATTGAAAGCAAGCTTGCTTTTGGGTTGAAAAAAAGAAGAATGAAACAAATAAAATAAGGGTTCATCAATCCAGGTTGTCGTCGGTTGCTATCATCAGCAATGGTGGTTATAATTGTGAAAATTTTTCAATTTTACTTGATGGGATTTCATTTTTTGAAAACGTTGCATAATAAATTCATTATTAATATTTTTGAATACATCCTTTTTTATTTATACAATTAAGTTATTATTCAATCATTAATCTCTAATTCGATTATACAAACGAATTTTTAATATTATTATTGGTAAAAATGCTATTTACTGTGATAATGATAATTATTAAAATTAGTATTAATCTTAATAACAAATAAATTAAATCAATAAACATTATTTGAGCTTTATTTAGGATATACATAATTTTAAATTTTTTTCCTCAGCGGACGCTTGAGCCCCCACTGGACCCAAAGAAGCGCCCTCTGCCCATGATTTGTTAGTTGCCGGTTGTTATTTGCCAAAAAGGTGAGGCCAAACGGATAGCTCGATTGTTAAGGAAAAATATAAAAAGCAAAAGGAAAAGAGAAAAAAAAAATCCACGTCACGGCGGTATGTGGCAATTTTAGTTATCAAAATGTCACATCATCAATCCTAAAAAAAATAATTTTTTGTCAATAATTTAAAAAATAAATTTTTAATTTTTTTTATTTATGAGATTTTTTTTATATTCGATAATCATTAAAAAATTTTTAATTTAAAATCAAGTTAAATTTTATAAAAAAATAAAATTTTTTAAATTTATTTTTTTCATAAGACTCAAAACTCAAATTTTATTTTAAAAAAATTAAATTTTTTATCACTTGAAACATAAAGCACAGTAAATTTTTAATTTTATTACATTATGAACTGAAATTTCAATTTAAAAAAGTATAAAATTTTAATTTATTTATATTATTATACAAAGCCTAAATTAATTGTGGTCAAAGTGCAAAGATTCCATAATTTGATTTTTCAGTAATATTGTCAGTATCAAATTGCATTGTATGAATTTCTTCACGTTCTTTTATTCTATTTATTATTTATTATTTATTTCTTAACACTCTTGCACATAACATTTTTATTATTTTATTTTTTAAAAAAATTATTTTTAAAAAATTGACTTGTTTCCTTTTGGAGAAAAAATTATTGTTTGCTTCCTAAATTAAACTGTATGTATTATTTTTTTAATATTTTATCCAAAAAGTAAAGTCTTTTATTTCATTTCTTTCTCAAATTTAATAGTTTTCTGCAAAATTAAGCAAGTAAAATAGAAAATGCAAAATTAGAAAAAAAAGACAAAATAATTATAATTAATTAATTATTTATTTAAAATTTTTTTAATATATCTTTAAATCATTTATGTTTTATTATTTATTTAATTAAAAATAATATTATAAAAAAATCCATAATTTTTGAATATCAACTCTAAAAATATATTGTAGTATTCAAAAAATAGTAAGCAAATAATTATAATTAATTAATCTCACGTGAAAGTTGGAAACTTGAAACTTCCTCATGAATTTCCTTTTCCCAGACCCCTAATAAAATCAGCCTTTCCTTTTGGATTTCGATAAAAACCCAACCCCAAAAGCCTCTGATTGAACATTAAAAAAAAAAAGAACATAGGAAAATCTATTTATAAAGTTATGTAAAGAATGGGGTTATTTTAAATTGGATTAAGAAGAAAAAAGGATTCTTTGTTGGTAGATTTTTGAAGAGAAATTTCCTTTTTTTCTTTTTTTTTCCTGAGAGGGGTTGGGTCGGGGGATGTGAGGGTGATGGTAAGAAATGGCGCACGTGGTGCCGGCGGACCCACAGGCGGCGGTGACGTTGAAGAAGAAGGCGCAGCCGTCTCGAAGTTGGGCACTTTTGGACAGCACCGGGGAAACCACCTTCCTCGACGTCGACAAGTATGCCATCATGCATCGAGTTAACATCCACGCCCGTGATTTTCGCATCCTCGATCCTCTCTTGTCTTACCCTTCGACCATTCTCGGCCGTGAGAGAGCTATTGTCTTAAATTTGGAGGTTCCAAATTTCTAAACTTTTTTCTTTCTCACTTTTTCTGATTTTTTAGCTTTTTTTATTTTTTTTTGGGTTTTTCAATTTGCAGCATATCAAGGCAATTATTACTTCCGAGGAGGTTAGTGGGTTTTTTTTTTTTTTTTTTTAATTTTCTTTTGCCAATTCAATTCGGATTTCATTGTTCTTGATGATATTTGGGATGTAGGAGATGGGGTTTTAGTGCTGTGGGTTAAGTGTGACTTGTTTGATTGGCTTATTTGAATTATAGCTTTTGACAAAACTTTTTGTTTGTTTTTTAGATAATGTTTTGGATTTTGGCTTTGTCTGTTTCATTTATTGGATTTGTTGGTATATACCATACAGTACTGTCTACTAGCGTACTTTGGTGTTTTAATCTGTGGAGTGTAGTTTGTTTCTTTGGTTTTATAGTGAAAGGATTTGGAGCTGAAGTGGATTAGAAATAAACAGAAGTGGTTCAGCCTTTTTTGGGTAGGAACTTGAAATGATTTTCTGGGATTTTACTTTCAAGAGTTGATAATATTAAGTAGTATTCTAGGAGGGAAATAAGTTGAAGGACACATTCTCCTAGTATTGCTCATGAGGTTCATACATAAATAGGAAAGAACTTCAATTATGGTTTTAGGAACTATGTCTTTTGAATGTTATAATCTACTCATCTCGGTGATATGTGCTGCTTTGGGTCTTCATGAAATGAGTTTGCTTTTTAGTTCATCTCAATAAGCTCGATGATAATGTGTAAGGAGTTTAAGAGTGGTTTCAATTAAGATTTTGTATGGGCTGCTTTTGCAGATAGTGATTTGTGTTGTATTTGATAGGTATTGCTTCGAGATCCATCAGATGAATATGTTGTCCCTGTTGTTCAAGAACTTCAGAGGCGGCTGCCTCCAGTGAATGCCATTCATCAAGGTCAGGACTACAAGGGTGGCCAAAATGATGTTGAAGCAGGTGACGAAGGTGGTATGTCATTTTGATCCAGTAAATCATAGCAGCTAAATTGATAAACAGTGGGGAACTTAATTGGCATTCTCAGCAAGTTCATTCTTAATATTATTTATTTAACATCATAATGTATTCATTTTACTTCTTTGAAATCTGAATCCTCCGGGCCTTGCTATGTAGAGTCTCCATTTGAATTCCGGGCCTTGGAGGTAGCTTTGGAATCCATATGTAGTTTTCTGGCTGCACGTACACTAGAATTAGAGACTGCGGCTTATCCTGCTTTGGATGCGCTTGCCTCCCAGGTATTTGTTATTTCACAATTACTTTTCTCTTCTACAAAATTTGAAGTACTTTATTATCTGCATAACTTTCATCTTGGCCTATTTATACTGCATTCTCATCTGTAAATTGTGCTCTATACAGATTAGTAGTCGTAATTTGGATAGAGTTCGTAAATTGAAGAGTGCAATGACCAGATTGACTGCTCGGGTACAAAAGGTAATAAGGTGTACATATGCAGCATAATTTCTGTGGTATAATCATTGATTCTTTTTCCTTTTAGCAATTATTCTCTTGGAAAGGACTAGAGTTGTAACCATTCATACATTCTTAAAATTTTCACTTCTGGAAAGGCTGATTATTAACTGGACAAAGTAATGTAATCTTTCTTAGGGGATTGATGAGTTTAGCTATGATCAGCTGAGGGAAAACTTGAGGGATATAGACTGATTGCCAAATGGAAGGGTGAAAATGATTGATTTGTGAGAAAGATTAATATTAGGGCAGAGAAACTATCATATGTAAAACATGAAGCATTTGTAAGAATTTTATTTTAGCATTTCCATAAAGTGGCCTGAAATAATATTTTGATCATCATTTTTGTAGGTGAGGGATGAACTTGAACAACTACTGGATGATGATGATGACATGGCTGACCTGTATCTGTCAAGAAAGTTGGCTGGAGCTTCACCTGTTAGTGGATCAGGTGCTGCCAATTGGTATCCTGCTTCTCCTACCATAGGATCAAAGATTTCCAGAGCAAGTAGAGCAAGTATAGCAACAATTCGTGGAGATGAGAATGATGTTGAGGAGCTTGAAATGTTACTGGAGGTTAAAATAACGATTTACTTCTCTTGTTTAACTATTTATCTACCCAAAAGCTAAGTTTGTTGTAATCTGTTTTGCAGGCTTACTTTATGCAAATTGACGGAACATTGAACAAATTAACCACGGTACTCTTCTCTTCCCCTTCTCCCCTTATGTTTTAACTGATTCAACTGCTGTTCACAACTTACTTTTATCTTTGAATATTTAGATAAACTGTGCTTCTTGTGTCTGGATATAATCCGTGCTTCTTGTGTCTGCATATCCATATTTAGCTTCTGACTATGCTTAGAAATAAATGGATTAATTTGGGCTTTTTCAGTTTGGACATAATATTCATGTTCTGAAACCTATATTTCTAAGTTTTTACTGCTTGATTTGAACTATGCAGCTGCGGGAATATATTGATGATACAGAGGATTACATCAATATTCAGGTAGTCATCATAAGCTTGAAAACTCAAAATTACTACTGAATTTGAATATGTTGTGCCATGTACTATGATATTTTTGGCTGAATCGAGCTTATGCTTCCTTTTTTGCAGCTTGACAATCACCGAAATCAGCTAATCCAGGTGTACTATTCTTCATTCTGTTACATATTAGAGTGATATTAATTGCTTATATTTTTGTTTTGAAAGATTGAAGAAAGATAACCTGTATGTAGATTTAGCAATTTGTGTATTCATGTTTGTTTATTTCGTGTTTAAACATGTGTAAAACACAAAAATTTCCTTATTACAATTCATGTCGACATGCCAAACACAAAACACTTTAAAAGTTTTTTCCAAACCCATATACGGTTTTTGTTAAAATGTTAAATTGTCATTTTTTTCTTTTTTCGTATCATATTACCACGTCGTGTTTAAAATTATTAGGTCTACCTGTATTTTTTTGTCTTTGCTCTTTGACAATATAACAATTGAAAGTGATCCTAAAATTTTGTTTCACCATTTCTCATATATGTAGTTGGAGCTCCTTCTAAGTTCAGGAACCGTTTGTTTATCCCTCTATTCTTTGGTGACTGCAATATTTGGGATGAATATTCCATATACTTGGAATGATGACCATGGATACATGTTTAAATGGGTAAGCAAAGTGTTTCATCATCTGTTAAACTAGATGTCAATGTCAGATCGAATTCGCGCCCGCTAATTGAATACTCTCTCTTGTTTGTCACTGCTAGGTGATCCTTGTCTCTGGGATAGTTTCTGCAATTTTATTCATACTGATCATGTCCTATGCCCGGTTGAAGGATTTGGTTGGTTCTTAGAGGTACAAACATCCAATGATCTGCAATTGTGCATGAAGGAAAGTCAGCTTGCTGGTGATTCTTTCTCAGATGCAAGTGAACTAGAAAATTGTCTGCGCTTGAAGAAAATTTTACTGAATAATCAAGGTAAAAAAAAATTAACATAACAAAAAATAATTGTAACCTATTTTTCTTTTTACTTTCAATTGAAAAAGAAAAAGAAATAATTATAAACATATACATAGTTTTATGCCATGTTTTTCTCTTTATTTTCTTCTTATTCCATTTATTTCTCTTTTATGTTTATTTTACTTTTTTTTTTCTTGATAATAACAAATTTAATGATTCATTATATAAAAAAAAAATTGAAGCAGTGAGCTTGTTAATTGAAGTTTATAATAATTAAAAAAAACTTTTCCCATTTTCCTCTTTGTTTTCCTTCTAATATTCATTTAATTTATTATTATTATTATTATTATTATTAAAACGCAATTGCCTTTCTTTTTCTTTTTTTTTTTTTTACAAAATTAGAAGCAAATTTTCGTTGAACAACCAATACATAGCTTCCACGTGAGCACCACGTAACCTTCGTTAACGTACGTTATGCATTTCATGAGTTTTGATATAGTGGATTTGATTTTATAATGAATTTGATTTTGTGAAAAATTATCGTCAAAATCATACAATTTAATTTTAATTATAAAATTTTTATTTAAAATATTTTAATTAAGTAAATTTAATTTTGTATTAATAAATCTGTTTTCAATTCGAAGTTTTTCATTGAAATTAAGCGACGTAAATTCACACGATCAAACCATTGAAATCAAAACTCTGCGTTTCAATAACAGTCTGCCGCAATACCTGCAACAAGAGACGCATGACTGAAACCCAAAACCGCACAAGAAACGTGCACAAAGTTAATCCTACTAAAATTAAAATTAAACAATTCGAGCTTCAAGGTGTAAATTTTTTATTTCATATACATTAAATGGTAATTTTCAAAAGCTCAAAATCATATCTATATATTTACCACATATTCATTTAATTAAATAAATATTATTTTATTTATCATTAAGACAAAGGTAATAATAATATTACCATTAGTACAAGAATTTTTAAAATAAAAATGCTTTATATTTTGAGATATTTCACGAAATAAATGTATTTGAGATTTGATTTAATTATACATTTTATTTCTTTAGTAAGACAAATTAAGGATTTTTTAAATTTTAATGGAGTCTAATTTTTTTTATTAAAAGATTTTAAGAAATACTTTCTTGAGATTTTAATGAAAATTTTTTGTTTAAAATTTAAAGTGAAAAATGAGATAATTTCGTATTCTATTTAAATGAATAGTATGATTGATTTTGATGCGATTGAAAATAATAATAAAAATTATTATAATTGTAATTAAAAATAATTATTATAATTGTGATTAAAAAAAAATTATGTTAAATGAACTTTACAGATATTGATATTTAAATTTAACCGATGATACAATAAATTCATAGTAAAATCCAAACCTAGCCTCTATCAGCGCATTTTAACAGCAGTCACGCGATATAAATATGAGTTATATCTCAAACTTTTATATATGTTCTCGTAGCTTATATAAAACATAAAATAGAGAGAACATGTTCATCATCATGGAGTTGAGGTTCGGTTTCTAACTAATGAAAAGCATCGCCTCGAACGACTCATCGCTAACAACAACGCAGCCCATTGTCGAAATCGAACAAGACCAACGTCGTATATTCCAAAAAATCCCAGAAGTTCTGATCTCTTTTGTTTTTTTACTTTTTTCTTGCCTGCCAATCAAACAAACACACCGCCAGAAGCAGAGCAAAGGCCTATTCTGAATCATCAATAGGTTCCCCTTCTTGTTACAGCCATTGTTTTTCTTTTCTTTGTGGTGGAAAATGAGGGAAAAGCCTCGTGATTCGTTGCGTTTTTGTGGCATGCACCGCACAGAGTACGTGAATTAATGTTAATAGGCAGGGAAGCAAGTTTTGCGTGTGTTAAAAAGAGTGTTTCTTTGAGTGTTACTGTAAAGATTGAAGAAGAAGATGATGATGGAAACAGGCGGGGAGGTCTCGAAGGTTGAAAGAGAGAAGCTCATGGCATGCATGACATGTCCCATTTGCAATAAGTTCTTCAAAGATGCTACCACCATATCTGAATGTCTTCACACTTGTGAGTTTAATTGTCCTCTCTTTCATTCATCTCCTTCTATGTTATTTGAAATCATTGTATCTGATTTGGATGTCAATCTTTTGTTTCTGTCATTGTATTTTCTTTTGGAAGTTGATTGTCTTGTGGTTCTTGGTATGTAATGGTTGTTTTGTTTGTTTGGGTATCTCTTGAATTTTCATTTATATTTTTATAATTTGGGTCTCGTTTGTTTTGACTTCTGGGTTTTAATATCGAAACTATGGTGAATGTTATGTTATAATTATGGTTACCGATCTGTATTTTCAGAGTGGCACAAGTTCCTTTTATTCCTTTTGTTATTGTTAACCAATATGTGTTTAACCTTGTGGTCTTTGGCAATGCCTTGCTTGAATAGTATTAAAGCTCTAGGCAACGGAGTGTTACATTTTAAGTTTCATGTACATTATGATTTTAGCAAGGTTCTTTCTATGGATTACATTTCATTAACAAATGATATTTGAGGCATGTTTCTGAACTTCAAAAACAGTTTGCAGGAAATGCATATATGAGAAGATAACAGAAGAGGGGCTAGACAGCTGTCCAGTGTGTAAAATTGATCTAGGTTGTGCTCCATTAGAGAAACTCAGGTATCTGATCATCATATTGCGACACCAACTATGAAGCTCATATTTAGTAATTTTGCATGATTCATACAAAAGAGAAATAGCAGAATAAGAAAAATTAAATGAAAACATGATTTTAATAATTTCCTGAATTCATCCAGGCAGTTCATGGTCAATCAAGTGCTTTAGTGATGTAGCTCCATTTTAGCCTACTTGATGTTATAAGGTTGCTTGTTCTATGCTTTTTTAATGAAACCACATTAACCCACCTTAATGACTTTAATTGAAATGCTGATAACAATGAAGCAGTCTCCCCCCTGGCAACTGACAATGTTTTCTTCTGAGTTGCCTACGCATACAATTGAAAGACAGAAGAAATCATGGAAAGGAAGTTTGGTGAACATGACATCTTTGGTGCTTCTGCAGGGCTGATAACAATTGGCAAGATATAAGGACCAAAGTTTTTCCTCCCAAAGGACAGAAGCCTAAGGAACCTGAAGGTACATCCCTAGTTACATCACCAGCTAGAAGAAAGGAGAGATCGCTGTCTTCACTGGTGGTCAGCACACCTAGAGTATCAGCAAAATCTAGTTTGACTGGAAGAAGATCAAAGCTTCCTGCAAGAAAGGCTATTGCAAGCCAAGAATCTCCTTTTCCCAATGAGGAACATGTTTCAAAGCTGGAAGATCTCCCAAAAGATCTAAGCCCACCTGAGACCTATAGCAAGGTAAAAGGATGGCATTTGAAAGTGGTTATATTTTTATTGTTTTCAAATAAATTAATAATGTCTCTTTCTGCATTTTATCATTTGAAAATGGTGTGCTTTTGCTTTTAATATGTAAATGTTATCTATTTATCTAGCAGCAATTTTCTGTTGGGGAGTCATCCGAGCAACATGTGCTTGATAGAAGCACCGAGAGCATTGCTGAAGCATTAGAAGAAAAAGCTGATTTATGGAAACCATTAAATCGCCTGGTGGAAGCAGCGAGTAAAACGAAGCCTAACAAGGTCAACACACAAGGGAACACCGTCAAACCAGCAACCCCTGACCATGACAATGAAGTAAATCTCCCCACTATTGTCAAGGAATGTGGTAATGATTCAAATGTTCCCAGTAAAGAAAAGGGCTCAACGCCAGAACCTTCAACTTCAGCGAGACCAAGAAGGTCCGAGTTTTCCGACAAAAGAGAGAAGCTATCTCTGAGAGGTTGAATATTCCTGCACAAGTTGTGGTTGATTCAAGGAATAAAGATGATGGAAGATTCAGTCCAATATGGTTCTGCTTAGTTGCTTCTGAGGGCCAGTAAGAGTATAATAATTTTTATTATTGAGCATTATTGGTAAACGTGCCTTGATTAACTTTAAAGCAAATTTATTTCTTCTACTTCTATGTTGGTTTCCAATTCTTACACATGGTTTTCAGGGAAGGAGATGCACCTCTGCCTCAGATATCTTCGTGCTACTTGAGGGCTAAGTAAGTTTCGTTAGCCTACTACCTACTTTATGCTTGAGTGCTGCTTTGCATGTCAATTAAGTTGTCCCTGAAAAAAGGAAATCTTATGCTCAAGGGTTAATGTCATGAATGGACCCTAAACTATAGTGAAAAGTTTAATATGATACTTAAACTTTAAAATTTTTTATTGTGGTATCTGAATTATGAATCTGTTAACTAATGTGATATTCATTCCTAATGTGGCTAGTTTTAAATGAGTAAACTGTCAGACAAAAATCCTTCAAATACCACATTAGTTAATAGATTCATAATTCAAGAATCGCATTAAAGATTTTTAAAATTTAAATACTACATTTAATATTTCACTTCAGTTTAGGGGTCATTCATGACATTAGCCTGTATTCACCGCACCATGTTCTTCAGTCTGGCAGCAATCCATGTTTGATATCTTACTTGGTGTAGTCTATCTGTTGCTGCATGAATTTTTTTGTGTAGCCACTGATTCTTGTTATATAATTGTGTATCTATATATCCACCGAAATCAATTGCTATTTCCAGATTGGTAGAAAATTTGCAAGTACCAGTGTATGTTTGTAGGTCATGTTTCTTGAAATTGCCTGCACTTGAGTGCTTGAGGAAGTTCTTCACCTCACAACTTGTAAGTTGAAATCAAATGTGCAATCGTGACATAATAGTGGCATTTCGGAGTAGTAAAGGAATCATAAGAGTTGAGGGTAAATATTGGTTGAACGAATGTATATCCTCTGCTTTCCTGTATACTCAAACTAACTTCTACTTCAATGAGAAACCCTAGGTGAATCCGCTGAAATTGTTGGCTTTTGGTTCTTTTAGAATTTTGAACTAAAGGTTGGGGTTGCACATTAGGAAAGAAACACTTAATTTGGTCATTACCAGTTCAAGTTTCTGATTGTATCTTTGAATCTAAGCTGCTAATCAGAAATTATTAGGTTCACTGTCCCCTGTTTTTAGGTTATAACTAACGATGGTGTAACTGTTAGATATTAGATATTGACTCAAACTTTAAATGGGAATCTTTGAATTCCGATAAAATTCAATTACTTGGTGATAAATTTATTTAGGGATATATATTCTTAATGGGTAAGAATTTTTAGTACATATTAAGCAAAACTGCTTCTTTCCTTTCATCTCTTTTTTAGGAACTTCTCGTATTCTGTTTGACAAATGTAGCTATTGGCCACTTGACATTTTATCTTGGTTCTTAATCCACATAAGTGTGGAAACCTCAGTGACATCCTTAATTGAGCAAATTGTTAATAGAGATGTTTCTTATAGGGATGGCAATTTACCTGTTTCGTATATCAAGGAGTATCTCGTAAGAAAACTCGGCCTTTCTAGTGAGACTGAGGTAAATTTATAACTCTCCCCCATTTTTCATTTTTCTTATTTATTTATTTTTTTGGTATTTCAGGCTATCGAGATTCGAACTCTAATCATCGAAATTAAAAGTTCAACACTATTGACAACAAACCACATAGCTGTTAGCCTATAATTTTACCTATACATTTCTTCGTGTTAATCAATAGTAAAAAATTACGAAGAATGAGAACTTGTAATTTTGATCTTGGTTGCTACCCGGAATTCTTTAGGTGGAGATCTTGTTGCGGGGACAACCAGTAGTTTCTACACTGCAGCTGCACAATCTAGTAGACTGGTGGGTGCAGACAACTCCAGCATCAGAAAAAATACAAACATTCGTTGGCAGCTCAGCGAAAGATTTTGTGATGGTGCTATCATACAGTCGAAAAGCTCAGCCCCCATAAAGCATGTTCCACGTCTTCTTGCTAAATTGGACTGATCTCAGTTCAGGCAGCCCTGGCATGCATCTACTAGGAGAAAAGGAGTTAACTATTTACTGTCTAAGCATTTTTACAGTCTTATAACTACGAGGCATGTAATTTAGCTCATCTCTTTGACCCGAGTTTTTGTCCAGCTTAAATTTTTCTTGTTTTTTTCGACTTCATTCCTTGTAATAGAATGAGATGATTGGTTACGTTCTGAATATGCATAAATTAAAACTTAAATCAAAGGTTGGGAGATTTTGGTTCTTAAGAGTGGACGTTACTTTCAAGGGCAGTCTTAATGGCTGATGCCCTTCTCATTAAGCATGTGCAGAAAGCTTTTGCTACAATAAGCTTCTGAATCCCCTTCCTAGGGCAGCTGAAACTTTAAAGCATCTAACCTCAAGCTCATGATACAGGACTCTCACCAAGAACTGCTGTATGCATGGGGATTCCTGCAAAAGCTTTCCAAGCCAGTCCTGCATTATTTCTGACAATCCTTCAAGACTCTCCTTTAGCAATCCATACTGAAATAAAGTGGAGAAACTGCCATAAGGAGCAGTTACAAGAATTTGACTGAAATGTTTAAAGCAACCTGTTCCATTGATAAAGAAACTGGACAATTTCTAGGACAATCTCTTAAGTTTGAAACAACCTTCATTTGCACATCTTGAAAGCTTGTAACGGCCTCCCAAGTTTCTCACTGCACCTATTATCCAATGAACACAGCGAGGCTGCCAAGACGGCACAAAACCAGTATCCTATCCCATGCACCATCTTCCGAAAAATGCTACAACAATCAATCTACCTCTTCATTCCAACATTTTCACTCTCTGTTACTAGCATATCCCTTTAACCAAGCTCGCCAGACTTGGGAAATCAACATTTCAAAATAAAGAAACAGATGCTTAGTAGATTAAGCTTGCACAACTTCACAAATGCCATAATCTCACACTAGTTTACACCCTTTCAAAGTTTACAAAGAAGTAGACCTGACCATTTTAAATAGTGATACGATACAAAATGATAAAAGAATGAAAGCAATATGATTTAAAATTTTAACAAAAATCATATAAAATGGGTTTAAACATGTTTGGCCTGTTGACAAGTACCGTGACACAGTGAAATAGACAGACAAGAATTTACGAATTGCCAGCTCCAAAGAGAAGTATAATATTATTATTTTGTGATTCATAACCAATTCTTAACTTTCGGCAAGCTTAATAGCATTCTTCCTATCACCCTTCCTAACATTACAGAATATCTGTAATTTTGCTATTAACTTCAATTTGCTTCCAAAGAGCCTTTTCCCTCTCAAGTTTGAGAATTTTCAGAATAATCCCTTCCAAATTCAACCAAAATAACAGCAGCAACTCTCGTTTCATACAAATTTTAGAACATAACAGTTCAATAATTTAAAAACATGTAAGAATTAGTAGGAAAAGACAATAATTTTAACTGATTTTTCATTGCCAACAATGAGATTATATTAAACAGTTTTGCAAATGTACAATGTTCAAATCTGTAAATGCAACTACAATGAAAAATCAAAACCCAAAAATCAAATACCAGTGTAATCCCCTCTCGGGCTATCAAGCTCCTCATCCCCACCAGCAAGTACGTGTCCATACGGCGACTCCAAATCATCCATCAACAAATCGTCCGTACTCCTCAATGCGGCATGCAAGACTACCAAACTACACCCGATGGCAACCGCAACCAGGACATTGACCCAAACACCGGTCAAAACAAGGCCAGCCACCGTCAAGCCGATGAGCGCACCGATGACGAGCCAGTCGTTGATCGTGAAGCCGAAGATCACAACAGGCTGCTCTTGGCTATCGCGGGCGAAGTAGAGGAAGAACCAAGCGAGGAGGATGACGAGGAAAGTAAGGAGAGAGAGAGGGTGGAAAATTAGGGATAAGAAGAGAATTAAGAGGAGGATTATCGTGTAATTAAGGCGGAAATGGGTTAGGTTTTGGGCGATTCGGGTGGTGGCGTCGGAGAAGGAAAATGGGAAGTCGAAGGCGGTGATGTCGAGGAAGTCTCGCCAGGGGCGGCGGATTGCGGTGACGGATCGGGCGGTTTCTTTTAAGCCAGAGATTAAAGTTGACATTTTATTGGGTGAGGTAGAACAAAAATACAAACCCTAAAATTTGAAGCCTATAAGGGAAGGGGTTTCTGCATTAGAAGTATCTTTGTTTTTAGAGAAGGCAAATGTCAGCGTGTTATATAATCCTCCGTCCCATTTTGTTTTGTTTGTCTATGTTTTTTCATGGTTGGATGTTTTAGATTTTTTTTTTAATATTTAAATATTTTTTTTAATTTTTTATTTCTTAAATATTTTCTTTAACCATGATGAAAATCAATGAGAAACTAATATTACGAGACAAAGGAAATAACATATATCAATGTGTGATAAAAAATTTAATTTGTTTTAAATAAGATTTTAATTTCGAGTATTATGAATAAAAAGTAAATTTAAAAAAATTTATTTTTTTTATGAGATTTGATTCAATTTGATTTCGGATTAATTGAAATTTAAAAGTAACTTTTGAACATCAAAAAATTAAAAGAAAAATGATATAGCAAAATCAAAACTTTTTTGTATCAAAAAAAATTTTTTTTAGCTAATTTTTTTGAACCAATGAGTAATTGGATTACATGATACAAAAAAGATAATTACATATACAAAATTAGTGAAAACTAACCCAAGGATAAAAGGTGAACTTATATTATATTACAAGTTAATGTTAGATTTTATTATTATATTTTTATTTCGCTAAATTTTATTAAAATTTATTATTTTATTTTTAATTTTGATTTTTAGATATAAAAAAACAAAAATAATAAAAAATTAATATTATATTTTGATCCTTATATTATACAACTTTTTTGATAAAAAATATTTAAAATATTATCTGTGCTATTAGATCGTATCACATGATATTTATGATTTGTACATGTGATATTTATGTAAAGTACACATGATAATAACGTGATTATATATATGATTGTCATATATTATTTTTAAATTTTTACAAAATAAAATAATAATATTTTTTTAAAGATTGTTTTTCTTTTACTTTTTTAAAATAAAATTTTTTTAAAAATATTGTCTTTTTTATTTTTAAAAATTATTTCAAATTTAAAATAAATTAAAATCAAATTTCATACAATGAGTAATTATTGTGATAAATAAAATTTTTTATTCTCTAAAGTATTGATTATATTTATTTAAATTTAAAATTTTCATTTTACTTTTTAAAATTAAAAAAAATACTTAATAAACAGAAACAAAATATAAAATTGATTTCATATTAATACTAATTTTATACTTCTATCTATCCAATTAAAATTTAAGGTTACTTAACCTGTGTTATTGGAAAACTCCAAACCAAGTTTGGAGTACAATAATCATGCAACCAAACAGACCTCAGATATTTCTTCCGCACCAAGGAATTGGATAGTGTATCAATAATCAACGGTCAAGCAGCCAGAGACCCTAAGAAACTGCCTATGAAATCCATGGCCTTAAATATTAGGCCTTCTGTGATTATGTACAAATTGGTATATAATATAAAAAATAAATTAATATTTTAACTAATTCTTTAATTATAATAAAATAATTTTATTTTTAAAAAAATTAAAAATAAATAAGTTATTCGATTCTTTGTATTAAGATAAAATATGTCGTAAATTATTTAATTTTTTAAATTAATATAAAATATATCGTATTTAATAGCTTAAGATTAATGATTATAAATCGTGCATTCGTAATGATCTTAATAAGTGATCACTAAAAAAATTTGAATCTAAAACTTTTTCGTTAGAAAGATAAATTTAATTGATTGAATAAATTATTTATTAGTAATGAAATATTAAATATAATATTTAAATATCAAATCCTTCCAAAAAAATAAATAAATAAAGAAATTGAAAAGGAAAAACAAGGAAATATATACAAATAATGGTTGTTTCAAGAGATAAACTAGAAACAGGTCAACACGACCATAAAGTCGAGTGTGGTCTGCTTATCTTTACTTGTCCAATTCACCGTCGCAGCAGTGTCAGCCAAAACAATTTTTCGAAACAAAAGCTTCAAAAACCTTGTATGCCCATGGCCCTTGATCTTTACATCGGACTTCATTTCATTTATGTAAATGATTTAAATAACTAAAATTGGGCCCTTGACTTTCTGTTCTCATTAGATACGGTTAGGGGTATAATGGTACGAATCAAATTGATTAAATTTTTTAATAATAAATAATATTATAAAATTTAAAAATTAATTTAAATTTAAATTAAATCTTATATATTCGATTTAGTTCATTAACTTTTAAATTTAATTTTTTTTTAAATATCATTTAAATTAAAATTTTAATATATATAAAAATTAATAAAAATATATAATTCAATTCGATTTTTCACGTTTCGATCTAAACTAAATATATATAATATTTGAATTTAATTTAAATTAAATAAAAAAATTAATACGAACTGAATCAAACATTACTTTAAATCAATTTTTTATTTTTTATTCTCACCCTTAGATATAGTTATTTGTGTATTAATGTTTGTTTATTTTATGTATAATGCATATAAAATATAAAAATTATTATATTATAATTTGTGTTGAGATATTAAATATAAAATATATTTTTTAATTTTTATCAAATTTATATATAATTTTTATTAAAATTTAAAAATATTATTTTTCATATATTTTTTATAATTTTCATATCATATATCAGGTTGTTTTCTAAAATTATCCTATCTAATTTTCCTGGCCAATTCTTGTGGGCTAACTAAACGTGGGAAAAAAAACTCAACAGACTTTCAACCAAAACCCTTTGACAACTGGGGTACTCTTTGACCAAGTAGGAATCGCCCAGAAAGACACGATTAAAAAAATCAAATGAACATATTTTGACCACGTTTTTAATATGTCTTAAATGAGTTTCAAGCAATCGATACATGACAAAGCAGACCGTTATATATAAACGTTTCAAATCGAGAATTTTCAAATTCCCAGTAAAGCAAAAGAGGGAAAAAGCATGGATCAGTGGATAAAACAACTGTTACAGGGTGAAATCTTCTGGCATGAAGCTACTCCTGCTCCACCTGTCAGTCGAAGTGCTTTTGCGCCATATCAAAATACACCCCTCAGAATTGAACTGGGGTTGGAGAGTGCTTCAGGTAGTAATAATGGAGTGAATTCTGGAAACACGAACAAGAGAATGATTGAATTCTTGAGGAAGAGTTGGCATGCAATGACAGAAACCAAAGACACCGAGAAAGAGAGGTGCTTCCGTCACATGATGAACGAGAGAATGAGGAGAGAAAAGCAGAAGCAAAGCTACTTAGCCTTGCATTCCATGCTCCCTCCTCGCACCAAGGTTGGTTTAGTTAATCAATTTGGCGTAACTGGGTTTTTTTGTTTTATATAATTACTAATTATGCTGCTTTCATTGAGCATTTTCTTTGATTTTCAATGACAGCATGACAAGAACTCGATAGTTCAAACTGCAACTAAGAGAGTTCAAGAGCTGGAATGGCTAAAGAAAGACTTGCAGAGGAGAAACTACGAGCTGCAGGCAAATTTGGCTGCAATGAATGAGGAGAAAGATAGTGAAGGAATCAAGATTATAGTAAGGATAGACAATCCAACATCTGGGATTGATTCCATGCTGGAGGCTCTGAAATGCTTGAAGAAATTGAACTCAAAACCCAGAATGATCCAGTCAACCTTTACTAATCAAGAATTCCTCGCAGTGATAGATATTGAAACTGAGGTTTGCCCTGTTTTTGCTTAAAATGGATTCAGCATTTCAGCTTGTGCATGTAAAATACCATACATTTCAGCCCTTCTACAATTTTAAACAACTGCAGGTTTAAAAAATATTTATATGAATTGCATTAAAATATGATAAAGATATGGATTGATGTTTAAAATATAGAGCTGCTTGCTACTATCAGTAGTAATACTATTCATCTGTCTACTTTTTTGACAGATGGGAGCTGCCCAAATAGAAAAGGTTGTAAATAATACAGTGCAGGAAGCTGAGAGGAAAGTTCAGGAACGTTGGACCAGAAGTTAAAACAGAACAAGGCTGATCAAATTTTCTAATCTTACACCAATGGAAAACCACACGTGGCGCCAAAGAAGATTGAAGAAGAGCAAACAAGATGAGGTCAATTGACCATAAACATAATCCATTTGCTTTAATTGTTAAATAAATAGTGGCAACAATTACTAACTTGGGAAATTTGGGTCAATTTAGTTTTTAATTACTTGCTGGAATTCTTCTTTCTTTAAAGTGTTTTTTTTTTTCATTTTTATGAGTGATTTTGACGGATGTAAAGTTGATTCCTATAATATTTTTATTTATATTATTTAATAAATTTAAAATTTAAAATTTTTATTTTAAATAAAGATATATTGTAAAAAAAATGTTTCTCACCTTCTAAGTTTGAATTGACTAATTTAATTATTGCTTGAACGGCTCTTTTATATTCACTTACTTCGATTGGATTGTGATGCAAAGCTGATGTGAGGGCAGAGATCATCTACACTCTAGAATTGTGCTAGGATTTTTTTTTTTCTAGGCATTGGAAAAGGTTGCTATCCTGACGTAGGTATTTGAAAATGTTAGAGACTAGAAAGCCTAATTTCAAGTATTACTAATGCTCTTGAAATTCTGCAAAGGTTATCATTGGCCATAGCAGATAGGAAAAATAAAATTTTGGACATTCATCTATCAGATTAATCAGAAATACTGCAAATTAGAAGTCTGAAATGGATTTGAGCAGCTTGCATCAAAGATTAAGTTGAAGATGGAGCAAACTAAAAATGAATCCAATTGCTTCAGAACATATATAACTACAAAAATTTAGTCCAACTAGATTCTAATTCTTTGGTTTAGCACGTTGGACAAATGCATAAATGAGATAAGTAGGATTAAGTATTAAAAGATTTATGCCATGAAAGAGAGACAACATATTGTCACTCATTTAGAAACAAGTATATCAACGATCTAGTGAAGATGGACAAGGGAAAAGGAACAAATGGAAATTTGCCACAAGTAGTCAATACTCAGATGGAACCTGGAACGAATTCGAATAACGATATCTGCAACAATACTTTTGTTCTATTCCCAAGTCAAAACCCCTTTGTAAAAAACAAAAATGGACACTCAAATCAAGTTAAGATTAAGGATACTCAATACAAGTGTAATAGATCACATAAGCACGCACGTAGCTCAACTTTAGATGCAAGTAAATTGCGAAACCTCAACTCTCTAGTAAAAAGAACATGTTGCAAAAGTTCAAACCATGAAGTCTAGCATCATCTTTCACTACCCTAAATTACTAACATTAATGCAAATATCACAATGCTAGGTGCAGGCTTTTACAAATATCACCTTTGGTTCTATTGTCAAACCTTTTATTATCAATTTCTTGATTAAAAATTTCTCCTATTTCCATAAGTGTAGGCTTAGCATCGATCTCTTCATCTACTTTTTCAAAAAATAAGAATTATGTACTATTAATTTCATCTTTTACTATTAAATTAAAAGTTAAAATTTTATCTTTTTAATCTGAATTACTTTCATCGGTAATATCATAATTAAATATATAATGATAATTAAACCCTTTAAAAAGTTCTATATGTATTTCATATAGTTCTTCTATCAAATTCAAATAATTAATCTTTTTTTTTTAATTGTGGCTTTTTTTCATTTTATACTTAAGATGTTTTGTAAGAGTTTTATAAGATTTAAAATCTATTTTTCAGCTTTAGAAAACTTAGTTGATTGAAAAGATGATGGTTTATCATCATTAAGAGTAAGAATAGCATTACCAAAATATAAAGGTCCAAAATCATTTGTTTGATTTTTATCAACTTATAATAATTCTAATTTTTTATTAATACTTACTAACAATTGTTTAGACTTTCTGTTTAAATCTAAATAAGTAACTTGTCCTAAATTATCTATTTTGGATTATAGTATATCAATTTTATTAAATAATTTTTTTAAAAAAGTAATAGATAAATAAATTAAACTATTAATAATATGACTGATTGTCGGTATATAATTTTCTAATTGAAGATCTACATGCAGATTATGATTATGAAGTTTTTTTGAACAAACATAATTTTTAACTTCTTGCTCCATGTTCCTAATACCTAAAATCATCTATATATCTTATAAAGATCTTTAAGGTTAGATTAAAGACCACAACGAAGCTACAACACCAACACAAAGATAATAAATAAATATATGAATTTTAGAATATAATGCTGAAGGTTTAAAAACTAAGAAAGTAAAAAAATACTTATAATAATAGCTGAAAACTGGATACCTCAAATAGTATATATATCTATCAACACAAATTTTTATAAACTATGATATCTATATAAGGTTTATGCTTTTTTATTAAATTTATGTTTTTTTGGCTTCCATTTGATCAATTTATATATATATATATATTGTATTTCTTTGAATAGGTTTTAGATTAAGATTTACATCTAAATTTTCATTCATTTTCTAATATTTTTGTGCATTGTTTATCACTTAATTTTTTTTTACTTGCTTAAAAGCAATGTTCTATAAATTGTTTAGAAGCAAAATAGATTCTATTTTCTATAGAATCTAAATAATTTTTATTAACTTTTATAAGATTATGAAGTTCTAAATATTTGAGATATTGTTGATTACAGAATTCATCCCATTGTGATAGTAATTTATAAAAATATTATTCTTTCCAAAATTTAGAATGTTTCAATTTTTGGTATTCTTGAATATATTTTTTAGAAAATTCTTCTAAATGCCTTATACCACATAATTTTATTTTAGTTAATACATAACTAGCTTAATTGTTTTGATCAATTGGTTTCATTTTTTTCACAAAATTTAATTATTAGAAAATTTATAAGATTTTTTAACAAATCTTATATAGTAGTAATTTGATTTAGAAAGGTTCTTTTTTAAACATTTCTTACTTCGGAGTTTTTCCCATTTGTGTAAAAATTGTAAAATATCTCATTGAAATATTTCATAGAAATAATTTAAAAAATTTTCTTTAGACTAAGTGTCTTTATAGTTGTTTACTACAATAATCATAAATTGTGCCCAATCTTCAATGGTTTTTTTATAGTTATTTATAAAGATTTTTGAAAGATCTAAATATGTTTTTTTTTTTTAGCTACAATTTTTTTGTTTAAAGATTCTATAAAATTGATTGCAATATAAATTCTATAACAATTCCAAAAGATGTTCCTGTTTGTTTAATCTTATCTTTACAACTATTATCTTCGATTCTATTATCAATTTCTTGGTTAAAAATTTCTCTTACTTTTTTTTTTTTCCTTATCAACTTTTTGTTGATCAAGATTCATGAGTATAGGCTTAGTATTGATTTTTTCATCTACTTTTTCAAAAGATGAAGATTTTGTACTATTAATTTTATCTTTTATTATTGGATTAGTAATTAAAATTTTATCTTTTTTATCTAAACTACTTTTATCGATAATATTATAATTAAGTACATAATGATAATTAAACCTTTCAAAAAATTTTATGTGTTTCATATAATTTTTTTTTATCATATTCAAATAGTCAATCATTTCTTTAAGAATTGTGATTTTTTTTATTTTATACTTAAAATGTTCTATAAGACTTTTATAGGATTTAAAATTTAATTTTTCATCTTTAAAAACTTGGTTGAAAAAATGATAATTTATTATCGTTTAAAGTAAGAACAATATTATCAAAATATAAAAGTCCAAAATCATTTGATTAATTTTTATCAACTTTTAATAATTTTAATTTTTTATTAATATTTACTAATAATTATCTAAAAATTTTATTTAAATCTAAACAAGTAACTTGTCATAAACTATTTATTTTAGATTTTAATATACCGATTTTACTAAACAATTTTTTTTAAAAAAAAACATAATAAATAAATCAACTAAATTATTAATACTATAATTGATTGTCGATATATGATTTTCTAATTAAGAATTCACATGCAGAATATGATTATAAGGTTTTCCTAAACAATTATAATTTTTAATTTTTTGCTCCATGTTCCTATCATCTAAAACCGTATGCATACCTTAGAAAGATCTTTAAGACTAGATTAAAAGTCACAACACCAACACAAAAATAATAAACAAATATATGAATTTTCTTACATAATGCTAAAAATTTAAAAACTAAGAAACTATAAAAATAGTTATAATAATAGCTTAAAACTAAAGACCTCAAATAGTATATATATATATATATATATATATATATATATATATATACATGAATTTTTACAAACTATGATAACTATAAGGTTCTTTAGAAATAAAAAATAAATAGTTTATTTATTTACAAATAAATATTAGTAAATCAGAGCAATCATAAACTCATTTTCGGCTATCAAATCATGTAATCAGAGGCGGTGAAAATCAACAAACCATTTATCAAATTTCAAAGACCAGCAATTGCAAATTACCAAATCATTGACATCTTCAACTAGATATAAACATTCAAAGCACCTCTTTAAAACATGAGCAAGTGCAACAGAGACTCATTGTCGAATATAACAACCGAATGGATATAAAATTGTCATTAATTAAAGTACTAAAAGTGCAACAAACATAAATTGATCACCATAAATATCTCTTCATAGTAACACCAGATCAAGTATCCAGGCTGCAGGAAAAGACTTCACTTCAGAGGAATGAACCTTGAAGAATGGGTAGCACCAATACCAGGTCTACCGTGCTTAACTGGCTTGTATGAAATAGAGAACTCAGCAAGGTAATGGCTAATCATTTCAGGCTTGATTTCAACCTGATTGAATGTCTTGCCGTTGTACACACCAATAATGCTTCCAATCATTTCAGGTACAATGATCATATTACGCAGGTGGGTTCTGACTGGTTCTGGCTTCTCACCAGGTGGGGCCTCCCTTTTCTGATTCAATATATCAGAGCAAATATTATACGAGTACAATGATTAACTTACATAGAATAATCAAACACTAATGATGTTCAAACAAGATAATATTCTCTAAAGCTCAATTTAGAATGACAATCCAGCAACAAACAAACAACAGTTTTACAGTGAAAACAGTTTGTTGACTTCTAATAAGGATCAGGTAATCTTGATTATACTAAGAAACATCTCTTACGAGTTGAATCACAGTAAGATAGGACAAGTATTGTTAACTATCTGACAATGAATCTGAGCGTGGAAATTTAAGAGGAAATGAACTGAGAAACTACAAAAGAATAGAGCAGATAGTTATCATGCATGCAATATAGGTTGCAAGTTATTTGCAAGTAGAACAAGATTGGAAATTCATCATACTGGGACTATATATTCTGTTATAAACATTCAAGGCTTTGCACATAATTTGAGACATAATGAACGAACAGAATGCAATGTGATAAAGTACATAAAGTAAAAGTAACAATTTTCAACAACACACTTAAACAAAAGAGACTTACTCAACTTCAGCTAGTAGGATTTGATAAAAAATTCATTTCCAATTACAATTGAATCCCTCTATGGAGAAAGACAAAACATAATAAGAAATTTTGAGACATGGAACCAATAACCCAACATAAGAAACTCTCTACTCATATCTTTCTTTTAGCATAAACATGAGTTTCATGTAACATGTTGACAGTTAGGCCTTAGACAAAGCTCCATTTTTTTTTTTTTTTTTTTACAAAAGAGATTGCAGGAAGAAGATTTGAACCCCAAAATTGCTTGATGCCTTTTAAGGTGAACCATGAACTAATAATAAACCAACTGAATTAAACTCCAGATTCATAAAAGGTCCAATTTATAACAAAAATAAAACAAATACTCCTAGATCTAAATAAAAATCCGGTGACTATGATTGATAAAAATAAGAAACGAAAAAACAGAGTCAAAATCAAATTACCGCCTTGCGGAGTTTCTTGATTAAAGCCATGGGCTTTCTTTTGAGACCCCTCTGGAACCTACAATCACATAATAAAAACATTAAAAACCCCATTTAATATTTTTACAGTAAAAAAAGAAAAAAATGAGAAATCGAATCTTCTTTTTTCTTATCACCTTCTGCGAGCACGAGCAGGGAAGAGCTTGACGAGTTCATCGGTGGACATATCAAGGAGAGCATCCAAATCAACGCCTCTGAAGCTAAACTTCTTGAATGTTCTCTTCTTCGGCACTCCGGCCACAGCCACCTCTGTCTCAGCATCCGCCTGTCAAAATTTATGCATTCACTCCACAGTAAGAGAAAAAGGAAAAAATTAAAAAAAAAAACAGTAGAGGAAAGGGACAGCCTTTACCATGGCCGAAAGCTTTGGGTTCTGAAGATGGAGCGGTAACCGCTAGGGTTTGTTGGCGGAGGTGGAAGAAATGGAAAGGGTTGGATAAGTTGCTTATATAAATAGATACATACATCAAGGCTTAAAACCCTAAAATCAGATTCAGAAATGTTTGCTTTTAAGGGCCTGGGTCCTTTGTATTTTACATTATGGAAAGTGTACTATTTTCATTAGGTCGAGATAATTTTTTTAATTATAATAATCATTCATAAAAAATAAAAATAACATGATTTAATATTGAAGTAAGTATATTTGTCAATTCATATATTTAATATTAAAATTTAAATATTTATATTATATTTTATATAAAAATTATATATTATAATTTATATTAATATAAAAATATAAAATATTTATTTTATTAAAATTTAATATAATTATAATTACAATTTTAAATCATATTTTTTAATTTTTAGACCTAGAAGTTGAGGCTTAAAAATTATGAATTTGAACTGCAGTCCAATAAATATTATGAAAATTTCAAAAAAGAGTTATAATAATAATTTTTTCTTTGAGTTTAATAAATTAAAAACTAATAGAAAAAGAGGTTTATAATAATTTATTTACGAAATAAGAGAGGGCGGAATCTTTTATTCCTCTCATGCCCAAGTGTCTCTTCATGGGCTTCTCCAAGCCCAAGCAAAATCTAAGGCCTGTTTCAGCTTTCACCCATTTTCTGAGTTTATAAATAAATAAACCCTTACTATTTTCTCTCTCACGAACAGAAAACCCTTGAACACGAAACTCGAAACTCGAAACTTGAAAGCATTTGAAGAATTCCATTAAAAAGGTTCGTTTTCATCAATTTTTTTAATTCAAGTTCATATTTTTCTTCCATTTCTTTTCTGTGTTTCTGCTTATCTTTGAGTTCTTTTTCTTTAGAAAATACGTTTTTTTTTCTTATGCTGATCGTAAATATCGTAAACTTTCTCTGGGTTTTTGTTTTTATTCAGAAATAATTTGATTTTATTGAAGATGGAAATTGATTCTGAGTTGGAAAAATCGAATGTTAAAGCCCCAAAAGAAGGAACTTCAATGCAATTGGATTCCCAGGAATCCTCGGAATCAAAGGTACCTAAAAGAGTTCTGCTTTTGTTAATTAATTTTGAGTTAAACGTTCGAACTCGAAAAAAGAAGCTTAATTATTGTTATTTTTTTTAATGTTGGCTTGTTCATCTAATTAGTATTTGGTTATTTGGTTTCTTATGTAGGGAGGCAATGATGAAAAAGAGAAGCTTTCTGATTCTATGAACAAACTAAATATTGAGTCGTCTTCAGCCGGTTTCAAGAGAAAACCAGTTATTATTATTGTTGTTGGAATGGCAGGTAATCCAAGAAACCTGAATTGGGAGGTTTTTATGTTTTTTATATGTTGCATATTCGGTCTCTATCAAATTCAGGTTACTTGCGAGTTGTTTGAATGAACTTTAAAGTTGACATATGTTGTTTGATTTGATTAGGGAGTGGGAAAACAACATTCCTTCATAGGCTGGTTTGTCACACTCAAGCTTCTAATATTAGGGGTTATGTGATGAACCTTGACCCCGCTGTGATGACCCTTCCATTTGGAGCTAATATTGATATAAGAGACACGGTTAAATATAAAGAAGTGATGAAGCAGTTCAATCTTGGACCTAATGGAGGAATCCTTACGTCACTCAACTTATTTGCTACCAAGTTTGATGAGGTAAAGTCTTCTGAAATTTCTGCATTAGGCTTTTTAGTCCTCTGAATGGCAGTCTCCATCAATTACATTTACTTTTAAATTAGCCTTTTTGGATCATAATGTTTAAACTGGCAAATGACTGGCTTTGTTGCAAAGTTTATACTTAATAGACTTTAACCCTAACCTATAATGTTGCTTCCATATGGATATGTTTTATTTAGAAAAAAAAAAAGGTTATTTGCATCAATGCATGTGCATACAGAATCGTAGCTGTTTTTATCTTTCTTTACTCTGTCCATTTTTGTGCTTTTATATTTTGATGCTTGACACTTTCCATTTGTTCATGTGAATGACTTTGCAAATATCCGATCTCAGGTTATTTCAGTAATTGAGAGGCGAGCAGATCAACTTGACTATGTTCTTGTGGATACTCCTGGGCAGATTGAGATATTTACTTGGTCTGCTTCAGGAGCTATCATTACAGAAGCATTTGCTTCAACTTTTCCTACTGTAGTCACTTATGTAGTGGATACACCTCGTTCAGCAAGTCCAGTTACCTTTATGAGCAACATGCTTTATGCTTGTAGCATCCTTTACAAGACACGGTTGCCTCTTGTATTAGCTTTCAACAAGACTGATGTCGCACAACATCAGTTTGCTTTAGAGGTACATTAATTTCCATATTAGCTGCAAATATTTTCTTTGGGATTTTTATAATATCTTGTCAATTGTTTCCATTTAGTGATTGTACCTTATGGTATATGGTTTATTCCTGATTGTAAGATTACAAATATCTAAAGGATTTAGGAATGATTGAGATATCAGAGCTGAGGTATGAAAAAGAAACATGGCAGTTGGCTGCTTTGGGTTGCTGGCCTACTTGGGTAACACTTGTTACCTAAACCCACCCCTTCTTTTTCTCTCTCTTTTCTTTGCTTGCACACATGCAAAATGTATTTATTACCATTTTCTGTGTTACGAAAGATGCATAATACTTAGTTCCAATGACAGCTGTTCACGCTTGATTGATCTACAACCATTCTACTGGTAATCGAACTTTTGAAGCAGGATTTCACATCCCATCTTGCTCCTATTCCATAAGAATTTTCCTGATGATTTCAAAACTTCTAGCATTTCCTGATGATTTCCCAATGTTAAAGTGATCTTGAGTTTCATATTTGATATAATTATTGAATTATGTTGTTTTACATTTTCTTATGCTTGTTTTCCATCCATTTGTTTAGGGTTCTAAAATTTTATTTGTTTCCCCCTTTTCTTGTTGACATGCAATATATAAAATGAGCTGTTAGCTTTGTAATCACATTATTGTTTTGAACAAATCATTTGTGCAGTGGATGCAAGATTTTGAGGCATTTCAAGCAGCAGTAAGTTCAGATACTTCATATACATCAACTCTAACTCAGAGCCTCGCCCTTTCTCTTGATGAATTTTATAAGAATCTGCGATCTGTTGGAGTTTCTGCAATTTCTGGTGCTGGAATGGATGAATTCTTTAAAGCCATTGAAGCCAGTGCTGAGGAATACATGGAAAATTATAAGTATTGCCTTCCTCTTTTAATTTTTACAACTGAATGGGGTGTTTTATCAAATAATTATTAACCAAAATTTGTTTTTTTCCTGCTTATCCTTGTTTTTACAGGGCTGATCTTGACAAGAGAAGAGCAGAAAAACAACGTCTAGAGGAAGAACGCAGGAAAGAGAGCATGGATAAGTTGAGGAGGGATATGGAACAATCCAGGGGCGAAACTGTTGTCTTGAGTACTGGTTTGAAGGACAGAGATGGAAGAAGAAAGACAGTGATGGATCCAGAAGATGAAGTAGAAGAACCAGAAGAGGAAGATGATGACTATGAGAGGTTCACCGAAGAGGACGAAGATCTTATAGATGAGGATGAAGACGAAGAGTTTGCCAGGTTCTCCTTCTAACAAATGTTTAACACTGGCAGGGTTAGCAGCACAAACAGAATCAAAAAGGTTTTATTGTGGCAGTAAATTATCTTTAAACTAAACTTTGTAGATGATCGATTGACTGAACCGTTAAGCAGTTTGGATGAAATATGTGGGTATTGTGCTTAAGTTAGTCTATACCCAATCATCCAAATAACAAAAAATGGTGGCATTGCTTGCAAAATGCTTGTATAGTATGATTCACCTAACTTTAAAAATAGGAATTGTAGATCTTTTCAACGCACATTAAAAGTTTACCCAAAAAAAGCCATTAGCGGGTGGGTTTGTGTCATTTTTTTTTCCTCAGTTCAAGTATATAATCCGGCTTGTAATCGGCCTGGTGAGAGTTTTTACCATTTCACTAGTTTAGGAGGAAAGGAGAGAGATTAAGCTCTGCTGCTTGTTGACCCATTGGGGGAGGAGATAATTATTCCCGGTTAACCATGAAAACGGAAGTTCATGCGAATGGGAAACCAAATGTGATCTGAGCCATTGTTAATGCATACATGTATTTCATCACACGAGTTCAAAACATGATTCTTTCCAGTGGATTTTGTTAGGGGACCAAGTGTGCAACGACACTTTCCCCCGAGAATTAAATTACACGATCTTCACCCAAAGAACCAAAAAAAAAAAACACCGAATATCGCATCCCATAGCACCTATATTCTAGAGCTAAAAGTGGTGAAGTTATTTACATGTTTGCACTAAGCTCCAAAAAAATGGTGGTCCAAAGACTCGGCTCCATTTCGGAGTCGGATTCGGACGCTCCCATGCCACCAAAAGTTACATTGCTCCCATGGCACCAGGGAATACATTTTATGACTGAACCTCAAATGAAGCCTTAAAAAAGGAGAAAGCAAAGAGTGATTACAAGTAAAATATTTTTACGAAAAAGAAACCATAGCCACCTGATATGTTTTGCGCAAAGAAGGCAATGTATTTGAACTTCCGAAACAGGAAAAAAAAAAAAAAAGAGCTTAGAAGCCCAATATTCTTCTCTCTTTAACTTTCGTTGTCAATTCTTCCTCCGATGGAATCTTGCCACCACTCCTTGTGGTTGCATGCAACCATGCCATAAGCTCGTCCTGCAAAACGCATAGCTGGTTAGACTGTTTCGTCAAGCAAAATATGAATACGAAGTGAGTTGGAATGGGGTTTTGTAGATCAAATTCTTCTCTACAAAACTTTTTCAACTAATGTGATCTCCCTACCAAGTTGGGTTTTAATCTTTGTCATTAAGCTAATAATCTAAGAATTGAAGAGTAACGGCAGTTGACAAGCTTGACTATCGTGTTATCATGAATGGAACTTCAATGGCTGCTAAGAGCTACTCAAAATGATAAAAAAATTTCAGAAATTGCATCATGAAATACCATTTGCTCTCAGTTAGAAGAGGTTAATCATAAATAAAGTTCACAACAAGCGGTTGTTGATGTTCATGACTACTATTTTGAAGATCTGCAATGTCCGGACATTTCTACATTGAACTGTCAAAGTCTAATCATAGAAAATTTCTTAGGCAAAAAGTGAAACATCATCATCAAGTTGAATGCCAGTAAATCCCTTGTCACTGATGACCATAATTCATGGTAAACAAAAAAAGAAAAAACCCTCATGGCTTACATACAAAGAAACCCTAAAACTGAATGAGGTTAAAAAACGAAGTTGATATTTTTTACCTCAAGAAAATCGTGGTTGGAGATGTATTGGCTCTCAGCCAAGCATTTGATCCCCCCTACATTAACATAGATGGAATTCTTGGGATTTTGCTGTGAACCCTGTCTGTGTGCCCCTCCTGCATGTAGAAGAAGGAAAATGAGTACATAAAATGAGAGAAAATAGGGAAAATGTCAGTACATAACTTATACATCATTAAGTACATCTAATCAAGGCATCAACTTGCTAAAAAAATGCAAATGATCTACTATTAACAAAACTGACAACTAAACAAGCATGAAATACCACAATTCACTCAGTGTCATACCGGTTATGCAGGCAACATAATATCCAGTTCCCCCTAAACCTTCCTCCCACTTCCCAAGCCGCAAACGCAGGAAAAAACCTTCAAGATGTGAGAGTGATATTTTTGAATTCGTCCACCTGATGTCCACATGTCATTACAAATTTAAATGAATTAGTATTATACTTAAGCAACATAAAAGACACTGGCAGTATACAATCCCTCTCCAATGTATCACATTCAGTTGCCACTCTTTTAGATACATCACAGTCAAACTTTTATGGTTCAAAATGTGTGTAAGAAAGCTGGAGGATGATTTTAATTGTATGAAATTTAGTGTCCCTATGGTCTTCTCTGATTCTATAACCATTTGTCCTTTGGATTAACTCTCTGACCTCTATCTTTAAGAAAAATATCTGACATAGCACTACTTAAGAAAATGAATTTACCAATGAAAATGTTGGTCTACTTACTTCAGGATATCTGTCCGTGACAAACGAAGCATCCTAACAGCTTTGAAGATTGCCTTTGGCATATTGGAAACCTGCTGATTGTCGAAATTGCCCCAAGGTATGATCTGGTTTTCTTTCAACTCATTTTGCTTGATACAGGAAGCTACATATTTCTTGTTCACATTAGTTTTTGATCTCATTTTGTCTATAGTAACCCCATAATTAGTACTGGGCCCTTTTTCAGCATCAATTCCATTGCAAACTGTACGTGCAGCAATAGCTTCTTGATTGTCATCTAAAAGTGTCTTTTTCTCTTCAAATCTTTCATAAAATTGCAGTTCATTGAGATTAGCCAAAGAAGCTCTATGTGCTGATTGATTTTGACTTCTAGAGGATGTGTTAGGGCATGCAACAGCCCAGTGATCAAGCTCAAAGCATCTAATGCACACACAAGGCAATTCTTCCAATCTATTAGGTGACTTCATATTCCTCAAAAGATCTTCAATCTCGATATCTGTTGTCTCTGGACAATATTGCAAATCATGGCCTTTTCTTCCACAAAAGAAACAGGTGATAGTTGAAACTATATTGTCTGATACACCAGAAGGCATGATGTTTTTGAGGGCATCTAATCTCCTAGCAAAATGAGAAGCCATCACCTCTGAATCTTTTAATCCAGGGGAGGATAAAATAGAGCTCACTTTACATTTGGATTTCTGGTCATTGTAGACTGCAATTTTATTGAAACCAATGGATGCCTCAATTTCAGTAGCACAATTCGGTAATTCTTTACCAGAGCTGGTTAGTGGCTCTTCGGCACATTGCTGCCTAGCCTCCACAATCTTGGGGTTGCTAGAAAAATTAGCATTGTTCTGGGAGCAAGGAACAAGCTTCATGCAGTCACTTGAGCGCTCAACAGCACAACCGGTATCCTGGTTTAACAAGGAGTTAGAAGACTTAGGAGTAAAGCAAGTTATCCACAAGCTCTCTAGAAGGTTGCGCTGGTAACCAATGCTATGAGCTGTCTTTCCTTCAGACGGTGGGTCAGAATCAATGTTCTCGGTGTTCATGGCCTTAATTTTACCCAAAGAAGAACTAGAGCTTGCTCTATCTTTCTCCACACCCACTGCCAAGTTGCATGAATTCTTATTCCCTGCAGAATTTCCGTCACTACTTTTCTTACTGGGAGACAAATTCATGGATGAAATAATTGGCTGGGTTGGTGGACCTGCTCTGCCACCAGATATTGGTTCTTTGAACCTTTCTTTTGATAGCAGAAATCCTTCATGAAAGTTGAAATTTTCTCCATGACAAGCAATTGGAGTAGCATCAATGTCACAAATCTTGTTAGTCAGCTCAAATCCTCTTTGATAATTTTCATTTTGTGTTGTTGTTCCTTGGACCTTAGTCTTTGGAGAATATATTGAGTGGAAAACAGATTGAAATCCAATATTTCTGCACCCAGGATCTTGGTTCATATTGCTTGTGTCAAGATTCTTGTCAGGACTCTCATGTGACTGATTAGGATTTGCAACAGTAAGCGCCAAACATGGCGTCTTGTCTTTCGATTTCAAAAAGCCTTTCATCATGTTTGATATCCAGTTCATGAAGGAGCTATCTTGTTTTACAAATGATGAGGAACAAGGACCTTCAGCGATTTGCTTTTTCGCTCTTTTGCTCCCCACAGTCAACTGTTGCTCAAAGCCCCATCGTTTTTTGCCCGAAGAGAATAATCCAGCGCTATTACAACTTTGAACACTCTCATGGCTGTCATCCTCCTCTTTTGACATCATTCCTTTAACATCTCCATCAGATAAATCTTTTTCCTTTCCTTTTCTTCTACAGCTACGGATTCTGCTGTTAGTTGGAGAATGTTTATCAGTGGACATCTTCTCTGGTCGTATCTCCTTATGGTGCTGAAAGTTCTTTTCAACTTCAGATGCAGATTCTGAACCTGAAATTTTACTTGTTGCAACACATGCATTATCACCCATCAGAGTCTGCAAATTGTTTTCAGCAGTTGCCTCAAGTTTTTCCAAAGGCCAAAGTCTAGAAGAAATGCCTCCCTTCATCTTACTTTTTCCTTTTTTCTCCATTAATGAAGTTGACTCCACCTGTTTTCTACCAGGGGAAGTCACATTTTTCTCTGGAGTTCCACATGCGTCACATTCATTCTCGGTATTAACTTCAGATGCCAAGACCATCTCCATTCTTGACAACTGAGTCCCACTGCCAACATCTCTGGCTTCATTAGCAGGATAGTTGAACAAGGACTCAATTTGTGCTGCATGTGGTTTCCTTTCATCTGTTTTTTTGTTGAGAAAAGAATGCATCGGTTATATGTCAAGTGTGTGTGGGGGGGGGGGGGGGGGAGGGGAAGGACAAAAGATCAATTCTATTCGACAAAAGAATGTCAAAATAATTCATTGCTTTAGCAATGACAAAAGGAAACAAGAACATAAATTTAGAATGCCGTGTATCTTGTTTTTTAGCAAAAGTATTGGAACTGCTCCTGAGTTTCCTAAAGCACTAAGGTAAAGTAAGCATAAGATTCTTATAATCATGTTCTAGTGTATATATATAAAATTCATGATTCGTGATGTTAGGAATATGTGGGGTCCAACCTCATATAATTGGTTTGGTTAATTAAAAAGGCTTAAAGCCTTTTTTATCTTTAATTTAAGAGAGCCTTACTTGATAAAAAGAAGAGGGGGATGTGCTTAAAAGGTGAGAAATAGAGGGTGGCACTGAAACCAAGGGAAAAAGAAAGTTAGAAAATAGAAAAAAAAAAGAAGAAGGGAGAGTTGGTTGAACGAAAGTCGATCCGTAGTCTGATTAAGCTAAAATTTTGTCAACAGCTTTATGATTCAAAGTTCTACATTCTAAACGGTGGAGATCATGTTTGAAGTTATCTACGAACAAATTCAAGATATATTTGTTGAGTCACCTATTTGGTGAGATTTCTCTAATTATCTCTTTAGTTGTTGATTAGTTCTAGTTTTAACCAGAGGTGAATTTTATATATCCATTATTTGATGGTGGAGATTTTTCGATGGTCTGTGATTCTTTTCTTTTATACTAGAGGGTTTTTCACATAAATCTTGATGTGATTTATTTTTCTTACGTTATTGATTATTGATTGTTGTCTATTGTGTGGGTTTATTGCGATATATTGCTTTTGCATTTTTGTGTTTGTTACTTCAGGCCCAACAAGTGGTATTGAAGTGAGGGTTACTTTTGAGACATCGATACAGAAGCAACCCAGGACAGAAGTAAATTCTATTTGAGATCATGAAGGGTGATATTGGTTTCATGATAAAATTAACAGTATCAAATTATTCAATTTAAAAACTTATGATGGAGAATCATTCATACTGCAAAGATTTGTATGAACTGGTATTGGATGATTTGGCTAAACCAACAAATACGAAAAATGAAAGCTACAAGAAGTTAAGCAAAAAGACATTGGCTACAATAAAAAAATGGGTTGATATTAGTATATTCCATCATGCAATGCACAAGACAAATGCCCACACTATTTGAAAAAAATTGATAGCATTGTATGAGAAAAAAATAACCATGAATAAAGTTGTGCTTGTTAAAAAGCTTGCAACATTACAGTACAAGGATAAGCCGATCAATTACAGAGCACTTGAGTGATTTTTAAGATATATTTAATCGGATGACTACTATGAAGTTTAAAATGGATAATGAAATGAAGCCGTTATTTCTTTTGGGTTCATTGTCAGACAACTGGAATACTTTAGTTGTTACTGTTCTTAATTCAACTCCTAATTACAAGGTGATATTGGAGATGATAAAGAACAATATGCCTAATGAAGAAGAAAGGTGAAAAGATTTAAACCTTGGGAATCAAGCTCTAGTAATAGAAAACAAAGGTAGAAACATCGACAGATGTTAGAATTCAAAAAGCTGTAGTAAGTATAAATATAGATCTAACTCTAGAGGTAAAGTGAAGTGCTTTCATTATGGTAAAGCAAGTCATATAAAAGCGATACTATAAAATCTTGAAGCAAGAGCGAAAAGATGAGAAATGCCAAAAAGGTAAGAGTTCAAATGATGGCAATGTTGTCGCAGTGAATTTAGATAGTGATTCAGTTACTTTGATTTATATACATGGTGATTGTAATCATGTTAGTGATCTTGGCATTCAGTGGATAGTTGACACAGGAACGGCATATCATTGTGTTCTTAAGAGAGACTTGTATACAACTTTCAAAGCAGAAGACTTTGGTTACATCAAGATGAGAAACAAGAGTGTGTCACAGATTATTGGAATTGGTGATATTATTGTACAAACTAGTATGGGTAGCATATTGACGTTGAGGGATGTCAGACACATTCAGGTTATAGAATGAACTTGCTTGCTATTAATGACCTTAATAAGGAAGGATATGAGAATCGACAAAAGAATGGGCAATGGAAGCTTCTCAAAAGATCTATGGTAATTACAAGGAAAAAATTATGTTGCATAATGTACAAGACATAGATGCAATTGAATGCCAACTAGATAAATACCATTAAGGATGATGCTTCAGCAAACTTGTGGCATAAGAGGCTGGCACACATGAGCGAGAAGGGGTTATAGGTTTTGACAAGACAGTCTCTCATTGCCTTGACCAAAGGTATGTCTCTCGATTCTTGTGATCATCGTTTGTTTGGCATGCCTAGTAGAGTTTCTTTTCGTAAGAGTTCTCAGAGAAAAGAAAATAGATTGGAATTGATTTATTCTTACGTATGTGGTCCCATTGAGGTTGAGTCATTAGGTGATAGCAGGTATTTTGTTCTTTTTATTAATGATGCTTCACATAAGACCTAGGTGTGTATGTTGAAAAACAAAAGTTAGGTGTTACAGTACTTTCAAAAATTCCATGCCATAGTGAAAATGACGATAGAGTTACCCTTGAAGTGTATTTAGACTGATAATGGTGGGGAATACACATCCAAAGACTTTAAAGAGTATTGTTTAAAGCATGAGATTTGGCATAAGATGACAGAACTTGAAACATTGTAGCATAATAGTGTAGCTGAAAGGATGAACTGCACAATTGTAGAAAAAGTCAGATGTATGTTAAGGATAGAAAAATTACCATAGCCATTATAGGGTGAAGCAGTTAACATAGCTTGTTATTTGCTTAACAAATCACCATCAGTTTCTTTGGGCATTGACATTCCAGAAAGAGTGTGGACAAGGAAAGATGCTGCATACTCTTATTTGAAAGTTTTCGAATGTAAAGCATTCATGCATGTGTCGAAGAGAGTAGAGGTCAAAGCTTGATAGTAAAATCACACACTATGTGTTTTGAAAGTTTTCGGGTGTAAAACATTCATGCATGTGTTGAGAGAGCAGATGTCAAAGCTTGATAGTAAAATCACACACTGTGTTTGTAGGATATGGTGATGAAAAATTTGGCCATAGGGTATGGCTACACGGGCTACTGTTGAGTGTGATGTTTCAACACCGACGGGTTTTCATCGAAAAGAGCTATAGATGGTGGAATTGAGCAAGAAACAAAACTTGAGGATACGAATGAGCTAGCCACAGTTAGTGATGAGTTAGATGCAACTAGTTTTGAGCAGGGGGAGCAATCCTCTCTACCTGAGAGTGTTGAGTAAGGTAAGTAGTCCTCTCCACCAGAGAGTGCTGAGCAGGAAGAGCTACCTTTGGCATTACGTGGTGTAGAGTCTCAGCCTAGAAGATCTACCAAAGAGTACAGGCCGTCTACTAGGTATTCAAGTTCAGATTTTATTTTAGTTACTAGTGAGAAGGAGCTAGAGGGCTTTCAAGAAGTACAGACGACTCCAGATAAAGAGCATTGGTTAAAAGCAATGAAAGATGAGATGAAGTCATTGTGAAAAAATGGTACATATGATTTTGTTAAACTTTCGAAGGGGATGAAGCCGTTGAAGAATAAATGGGTGTTCAAGTTAAAAAAAGATGGTGACAAACTAGTGAGGTATAAAGCTTGATTAATGGTAAAAGGTTTTTCTCAAAAATCTGGCATTGATTTTGATGAGATCTTCTTTTCAGTTATGAAGATGAGTTTCATTCGAGTGGTATTAGGATTAGTAGCTAGTTTGAATCTTGAGCTTGAGCAATTTGATGTTAAGACTGCATTCTTGCATAGTGAATTGCAAGGAGACATTTATATGGATCAGCTTGAGAGTTTTGAAGTGAAAGGGAAATAGCACTTAGTTTACAAACTGAATAAAAGCTTGTATGGCTTGAACAAGCTCTGTGATAGTGGTACAAAAAATTTGATTCTTTTATGATGAGCCATAGCTATAAAAAAAGGGCAATGGATTTTTGTGTATATGTAAGAAAATTCCCTGATGGCAACTTCATTATTCTCTTATTATACGTGGATGATATGTTGATTGTGGGACAAGATGCTGATATGGTTCACAGGTTGAAAGAATAATTGTCTAAGTTTTTTGACATGAAGGATTTAGTTCTAACAAAGCAAATTCTCTATATGGATATTATCCAGGATAAGAGAGTTGAAAAGTTGTGATTGTCATAGGAAAAGTATGTTAAACGAGTGCTTAGGTACATTCAACATGCAATATGCTAAATCAGTTAGCATTTCACTTGCCAACTATTTTCATCTGAGTAAAAAATTTTGTCCAATGACTAAAAAAAACAACTAGCTACGTCTAATATTCCTTATTCTTTTGCAGTCGGCTCTTTAATATATCTTATGGTTTGCACACGATCTGACATTACTCATGTAGTTGGTGTAGTAAGCAGATTTCTTTCTAATTAAGGAAAGACTCACTAGGAAGTAGTGAAATGACTTTTTAGATATTTGCGGGGCACCTCAAAAATGTGCTTGAGTTATGGAGTTTCATAACCAATTCTAAAAGAATTTATTGATGCTGACATGACAGGTGATCTTGATGGTAAGAAATTTGCTTCAGGGTATTTGTTCACTTTTGTAAGAGTAGCTGTGTTTTGCCAATCTAAATTGCAGAAGTGTGTTGCTTTGTCAATTATAGAGGCTGACTATATAGCAGTAATCGAAGCAGGTAAAGAAATGCTTTGGATGAAACATTTTCTTCTTGAATTGGAATTGAATCAGAAAGAGTATGTGGTATTTTGTGCTAGCCAAAATCCTTTAGATTTAAGTAAAAATGTCATGTACCACGCTAGAACAAAGCATATTGATGTTAGATATCATTGGTTATGTTTGGTGATTGAGGAATATTAGATATTGTTAAAGAAAGTCCATACTGATGAGAATGTAACAGACATGTTGACTAAGACACTTTTCGGGGAAAAGCTTGAGCTCTATAGTAACTTGGTCGAAATGGATTCCTTGACCAAGATAAATTTCAAATGAAACTGCTATGATGATGAATCTCCTCCTAATGGGGTTGGAGGAGAAGATTGTTAAAAATATGTAGGGTCCAACCCCATATAATTGATTTTGACCAATTAAAAAGGCTTAAAACCTTTTTTGTCTTTAACCTAAGAGAACCCTACTTAATGAAAAAAAGAGAGGGGCTGTGTTTAAAAGGTGAGAAACAGAGGGTGGCACCGAAACCAAGGGAAAAAGAAAGCTAGAAAAATAGAGAGAAAAGGGAGAAAAAGAGCTGGTTTAACGAAAGTCAATCCATTGTCCGATTGAGCTGAAATATTGTCAACAGATTTATGATTCAGAGTTCTATATTCTGAACGGTGAAAATTGAGTTTAAAGCTCTTTAAGAACAAATCCATGGTGTATTTGTTGAGTCACCTGTTTGAGATTTCTCTAATTGTCTCTCTAGTTATTAATTAGCTTTAGTTTTAATTAGAGGTGAACTTTATATATATTTAATAGTAGAGTTTTTTTGGTGATTCGTGGCTTTTTCTTTTACACTAGAAGGTTTTTCACCTAAATCTTGGTGAACTTTATTTTTCTTTATTGTTGATTATTGATTATTATCTATTGCTATGAGTTTATTACGATATATTATTTCTATGCTGTTGTGTTTGTTACTTTAGACCCAACATCTATGACAGCTTATTACACAAAACGGAAGCTGTGAGACTTTATAGGACATGTTACTTTCTCAAGGTACTAAACAAGTAAGAAAGACAGCATCATCAAGCACCTGGTGAACTTGGAAAATTATTTTCCATTGCCTCAGCTATTTCAGCCACTCGGCTATTGCCTCGATAACAGACATATGCTCTTTTAGAGTCTGCTAGATCATTCTTTTCACCAAGATTTTGATCAGATTCTCCTCTCTTTGTGCTTATCTCCTCTAAAAAGCCAGCAGTTCCTACAGAAAGAGAGTTTAGAGAGTTTCTTGGCAATTTTAGGGCAAAAGAAAGGGAAAGATACGATAAAATAAATAAATAAATGCTTTATAAACTTAACATGCCTTGGAAAGAATTATCATTATATGTCAGCTGTTCATGACACAACCCGATGCCATCATTATCCCTAGCTGATTTGTCTGAATTATCTATATTGGCAACTTTAGTATTCATATCATGAAATGTGGATACGGATGTATTGAAATTTTCTTCATCTATAGGCTTGTCATTACTTGATCTTGCAGATGTATTAATTTGTTGTGGTGAAAGAATCACATTGCTTGGTCCTGAACCCCTACCAAGGGAATGATTTTTATCAGAAAAGCTGAAGTCGGTACATTTGAGTCTGGGACCTTTTTGTGGAGACCAAACTAATTCTGACAAGGGGTCTGTGGCCACAAATGTCATGTCTATCCTTGAAGCTGCATTTGCACCTGCACCGAGATCATTACTCAATTTTCTCTGAATTCTTTGATTGGAATACCCCAGAGCAAGTCCTAAATCGGTCACCGGATCTATCTTCTCATCTTCCACATTCATTTTTGTTGGATGAACTCTTCATTTTGCAATCCTGAAATTCCAAGGTGAATAATTACTAACACTCATAGCACTTGTCGAAAAAGAAATTGACAAGGAAACAAGATTTTTCAGTTTGTTAGGCAAAAAAACCAATAATCATTCAAGTCTTTGGAACCGGGAGGATGAGTAATGTTATCTTGAATCCGTTACACCAACCCAACCCAAAGCAAGATTATCATGCAGAAAAGACTAATTTATGCCATGCTGACAATCGTCTGATTCTCTGATCCACTCCATATAGACATTACTACATGATAATGTCATAAATTTATGTCTTCCTCCACCAGCACTACATGAATTCCTTTTTAAATAAATATATATGCTGCTAAAGGACATGCAGTACCAAATTCTGAAAAGCATCAATAAAAGCAGATTTTATCTGGAGCATAGCAGGTTAATTAGTAGTGCAGTATGACACATAATATAGCAGTTGAGCCTCCATAAATATACAACTTAATTAAGAAAGTCATTGGAGATTTTGCAAACACTTCATGAGCGTACGAGAAAGTGGAACACCACAAGAAAATCTAAACCAAATGCAATTCTATAATGGACGTCCAATTTTAAGCATTCATATTTCTTTCTAGGAGCTGAATGGTAGTCAAAAGGCATGACAATTTGAAGATGATTAAGAGATAGAAAATCACAGCATTGTACAGGAGTTGGCAGCTTTGTGCAGGATAAATGATTACAGTTCTCAAACTAACACCATTCAAATCCCCTTGCATGAAAAATTTTATTTGTTTATAAGGGGTCATAAGTTCAACAAAAGGCTGCATATTGCACCACAAAAGCGGCAAGCCAAGTTTTCATGTGGATGATTGACCAAGTACTTTTATTGGTGCTACCAGAAAAGCAAGTTCGTGGATCCATGACTGCTATTGGTTATTTCTTATTTATTTGGCACAGGTTTGGTTGAACTTAACCTTAGCATGTGTCACATAAACTGACTTCACTTAAAACTCAATCCTCTAATTACTTGGAACAATTGCACCCGAAACCAGTCCATTTTGAACATGTTTCCAAAACAAGCAACTGATTATATCAATTTCCCCACAAAAATATTAAGTTCAATGATTGAATTACTTGAAACTCTCCATGTAGTAACATTTTTTTTGGTAAGTGAAGTTTTCAAGATTTGAATCTGATCCCTTGAATTAAAAGTCCAGCATTCTACCAACAGACCAATCGACTATAGGTCTCCTTTTAGTGACTTAATTAAGAGAAAAAAAAAAAAAAAACTAAGCAACATGAAAATAGGGCAAAATACAGAGACAATCTATGATTCGAATCATGCATGGCTCACAGATGAAAAGGTTCAGTCTATTGAGATAAACATGAAAAAAGGTTACCCAAAAACATAAATTAACTGCACCAAAATAAAGGCCGTACTAAAAGTTAGAAAAGTAAATAATTAAGACGGCAATCAAGCAAAGTTACGAGTATGACATAGAAAAAACATGAAGAAAATGAGTAAAAGAACAGCATATAAAGTTCAGACAAACGCAGATTTCAGAAAGAAGTTACTGCAAAAATCATCAAAATTGAAAAATACCAGTCATAAAAAATGCCTGATCACAAACCTCTTGCACCCTAAATCCATGGAAAATATAGCTAATTCGTTTAGCGGCTTCTTTTTATTCCACCCCTGGAAAAGAAAAATACTAACCAAAGTAGCTACCAATAGAAGAAAGATTTTTATGTGAGAAAAGAGAGGAGATTTCAGTTGAAGTGAGTGCCTGCCATACGCCTTGTTTGCAAGTACAGTTACATGAAGTTACTTGGATTCTCAATTATGAGGTTCAGGACTTGCCACGTGGACATATTGCATGCCAATGACACTGATCATGAGATTATATTATGTCCTGAATGCAAAAACATTGGCAACTGCTTTCAATCTGCATGCCATTAACTTTTGGAATTTTCTTTTCTTTGGAGAAAAATTTAGCCATCGCCTTTTCCAATTATAAGGATGCAGTTATGTATTTGGTAAGAATATTTCTGGGGAAACAAGGAAAATGCTTATATGAATATGGTAATGGTAAAACCTATTGAAGCACATGTTAGATTTGTTATGAGTATGACTAAACCCAAAACAACTTTTTTCCTGTTCATTCAATGGACAAGTTCAACACAGAAACGAGAAACACACAATTGCTCACTTTTTTTCTTTGTTTTGTTTTTCAAGCACTCAATCTCAGTCACAAATACTTTTTAGACCCACGAAGGAAATGTTTTGTTAGCCAATATCGTAAGAGGTAGATAAAAGCTTCATATAAATGGCAAAAAAGTTAATATGCAAATCTATTTTTCAACCCTTTTGAGTTTTGATTCATTAATATTTATGCATGAAAAAGTACAAGCATTAATGCATTTTCGTTTTCATCAGCATATAAATCACATGTAAACATTAATGCATTGCCTTCTGGTTTTTTAGATATTGTCATAATTCACAGAAACTACATCTTGTATACACAAATATGGCTGCATATGCATGAGATGAAATTACTATAATTACCTCGTTCTAAATGATCTATTATAAGATCATATACCTATGAGGCGTTACATGCTATAATGAATTAATCATAAATCTTCAAGAAAGCCATGTATGTATGTATATATAAGATCCTGTTCACATATCAATGTGTGTGTGTGTGTGTATATATATATATATATATATATATATATATTTATATACTCAAATTGGCGCAAGTAACTAAATTTCGCTACAAAAAATAAGTAGGAGTTCTGTGAGAGCAGATACTAAGCAATTTGACAATTTGAATGATGTTGATCTTCAGATACCGTTGAATTCGGGGTTGGGGAGGGGTCCCCAATTTCACGTGAACAAATTTAATTCATTATATAACAACTGGGTTAGGGGTCTGGACTTTCTGGTCCTGTATCCACCACCAGCTTAGAGTATGGACCATCTCAACGCCACTAGAAGTTAATTAAGAAAGTGGGATGGTCACTGTCAAAGCTTTGTCTATCCATCGGGACATGACTTGAGGCATAGGAACCATCCATTTCTGATGTTGTAGAATGATCCACAGCACAGGTTTCTGTAACCATATATAAAGGTTGTATAAAGATTGGTTGTTTGTGAAGGTTTTTCCAATGATTGTGACCATCAAACCCAGCAGTTGTAAAGTAGCAATCATTGTTGTTCATGGTTAAAAGATCCCCTTTCTTTGTGAAATATTAATTTTCAGATTAATAAGCTTCAGTTTAGAATTACCTATTCATTAAAGCACAGCTTCAAAGTCATCCAAATGTTTTTCTTTTTTTTTTAAATAGCACCTGAAAATAAAAATAAAAATAAATTGCATGTGTTATGATTTAAACTCTAAACTGAATGCAAGTCATCCAAATTTATTAATGTAAATGAGATTCTTTTTCTAGTAAAAACAAACCACTGTGGATGGAGCTTGAAATTTTGAGACCAATTTGTCACCAGAGATCTTTTAGCTTCATTATGATGGTAAATAAAACTGCATCATATTTTACTCTTTTGTTTTCTCTCTTACCATCGTTTTCTACCCTTCGCTTCTTATCTCTCTATAGATCTAACTGATTTGAGTGTGGGAACGTTTTCCGAAATATTACTTTTTACGCCTCATAATTGTTTTCTTTATGGCAAGCATGATACGCTTTCCACTCAAACTTCCAACTACTTTGTCACTAAAATAAGAAATAACGTCAACAGGGATGATATTAATTGGCCTTTTGAAGAGTGAGAGAGACAGAGAAACTAAGGAAGAATGGCCAAATCAAAGTGGCAAGTTAGTAATGTTTATGATAAAAAGAATAATTCATCACCAGCATTAATAAATGTTTATCAAATTTCTCTCCAAAACCCTGTTAAAATAAGGTGAAACCTAATGTTTTCTTTTAACATGGGATGTTACGCAGAACCACCGAGACTCAAGGATCCATACCTGATGAACAAAAATAGCATAAACCAAATATTCATATCTTTTGTTTCGGTAAATTTATTGGCCTTGGCAATTTGACCGCTTTATGGCTTGTTGAACTGAGCTTGCTGTGAAGAACCCAAATGGGATGGCCTCGCTTGTGCATCAGGTAGAACAATCCAACTTTGGCAACTTTGGTCCAGCCAAGATCGGCATAAAAGGATTCCAAGCATCTAGACCCTACCCCATTATAGGGGGAGAACAAAAAGAAAATTGGACTTTTTTTTCCTAAGCATATAGAAGATTCAAAGGTATAATTAAGTTTAGTAACCCTCGGAGTAGATGCTAGGAAGTTGAATCATTGCTATTGCAGATGCCAGTAATAAGTTGCGACCTAGGGCCAGGTCAACACATCAACCGACATGCCAGTAACTAGTTGTTTCGAAACTTTATCTGAATTAATAAAATGGTTGCATTGTTATGTTAATAAACTGTAATGGTATCTTCAAAGACCAGATACAACTACAATGTCCTCAATGTAAAACTCTCACCGTCGGCCAATTCTCTGCCCTGCTCCAAGTAACAATGCCTTACCAATTACACCCGAGTAGAGTCCAAAAACCAGCGCCACAGTTCCACCTACAGCGATCCACTTCCAATCAAGGCCATTGTCATTCTGCCTCCTAATAACCATGGTTTGATCTTTTTCATCTTCCCCGGAAACAGGACCAAGAGAACTCATGCTCTCATCAGAAGAAATTTTAGTGGTAATTCTTGCCATCAGTGCACATCTAGACAAGGAAGTGTCTGTTTTCCTTGCATTCTGGTATGCCCTCATGCCAGAATGCAATTTCTTTACAGTTCCCCACATCCCATGTCGAACACCCAATTTTGCCACATCTTTTGGGATCCCAATGTCTTCATAATGTACAAGGGTAACCTCACATGCAGACAGCTGTCCATCTCCTTTTTGGGACTCAACTACATCACAAATTAGATAACAAAGATGTTACTGTCATTAGCAACGTCGAGAATATTGTTGCTAGAATCAAAAGGTTGACTAAGACTCACCGGCCCTGATAACCCAACTTGAAAAGTAAAGCTCCACACGTCTTGGCTTGTCATGCTTCTGCAAACCAGGATATGGCACCCCCTGGAACATTATAGCTTGAATGTTAATATTTTTATCACCCTCATGCCAAAAATAAAAAAAATACACCGCATATATAAGATATAGTAATCTACTTCTTTCCACTATTCAAACCATAATACACGCACATGTGATATTAAACAGGGTCAAGAGACAGGCCATTCAAGCATCTTCAGAAGCATGCTAGGAGAATACATGAGATTAAGCAAAACAAATAGAGATCCAGAATGAATACCACATAAAAGTTATTCAGTTAATGATCGAGATCAACTGCATCATCTATTAACTGCTAGTTGATCTCGCCTATTTAGGTTTACTTAGTCATAAATATTTGTTAGTTGTGTTTTATGCCACTACGGATATTCCAAACACCTTAGCATTACAGAAATCAAACACAATGCCCTTCACCACACCTCTTCCCTTCCCCACCCACCCCACCCCCTCAACCCCTTAATATGGTAATACCACCAGGTCCCTTCAAAGCAACTCCACAAGGAGTATAGGCTTACTGAAAGTTAACAGATCAAACTAAACAACAGAGCATTTTAGCCTGTACCTTTGTCACACAATAGTAAGTCTTTCCAGCCTCCCATATTCTTCGACCAATTATGTATTCTCGATCACTGCAGAAAAAGGGGAACTGCAAAAAGATGATACAAGTCAAAATATGCAAGTCCATACAAAGTCTTGAATAAGAAATATGCTTAAAATCTTATTATTCTGAAACATCAGTCAACAGACTTATACAAACCATTCAGTTCATCTACCTTTCTTATCCAGTGAACAATCATTGTCCCTGTACGAGGGCACTCCTCTAAAATTTTAACGTATGCAAGCATAGTATCCCACTTTGGTCGAAACTCATCGTCCCAAAAGAAATCCCTAACCACCTCCACAGTTGCATCCTCAAAGACAGTTCTACTGCGATAAACTGCAGGGCCACTCTGGTAAACAAAATCACCATTAGGAACTATGTTGTGGCCTATATGACCATCAGGTATCATATGGAATCATCAAACAAAGAATTCCATCCAACACAAACACAAAGAAATGAAGTATCATGTAAGCCATCAGGCATTTTGGACCTAATAACCTGTGAAAATTTGATAAATAACAATAGCTTACATTCAGCCATAATTCAAATGCTAAGTGACTAACAGAATGTGATGGTCATAAGATCTCAAGAGTAAAAGAATAAATTTCTATGAGGAAGAAGGAAACTATTCAAGATCACAGGAAAGTAAACTACAGTGGATCTCTCAAATTCCATCCCACCTCTCTTTCTCTCTTAGAGAGAGAAAAAAATCAACAAATTTCTTCCTAAAACTATAATTTTCTACACGGCAATTTTGACTTATTAGAGTAAGAGAGAACCTACAAGTTTTCACGGGCACATTTTATGACAGTGAAAGAACATCAATAAACCAGAAACCTACCTCAGGCTCATGGCGCCATGCTTGGTATGACATATTTGAAGTAGTTCTTTCCATCATACTTTGCCATTCCATCTCCCCATCCTTCCCTTCAAGAAAATGTAAGAGGTGTGCTAAGTCATTCTCTGTGACAATATCCTGCTCTCTTCCTTCAGCTTTACTGCTGGGGTTATAAAGAAATAGGTATTTGTCAAGAATAAACTCATGTATGAAACAGCATTAACCATGCTCATAGTAACATAAGAAGATTATAACTACTGCAGTCAATTAATATGCTTCCGATAGTGACTCTAAAACAATAACCATATGAAAAGCGCAAAGACAGTTTTATGGTCAAATTTACAGTCAAAATAAGATTTTGTTCTAACAAATTCCGGAACAAGCAAAAAATAATAAGCATCCACGAAATTCACATTACCTTGACCCAGCAGATAAGGAGGAGAGAGAGAGAGAGAGAGAGAGAGAGAGAGAGAGAGAGAGAGAGAGCTTGAATGGCAATTCTATTGGATAAAAGTGAAACACAAATGCACTAGCAATAACATGCAATGGGGAAAAACTCATAAGCAAATAGCCAAAACCTGTTAGTAAAGTTATTTCAAATTATTCATTGCTTGTGGCTATAACTCTTTAGGGTATCTTTTGTTCAGCAAACAAGCTCTATGCTAACATGCGACAAACAACTTGATTATTTAAATTTTGGGCATTAAATGCTTACCAGAAAGAACTACAGAGAAATATGGTAGGCATCATCTGTCACTACAGATTTACTGAAAAAGGCCCTGGATCTCTAGTTCTAAAACACTAACTTGATAGTTTTTCAATGAACATATAAATGTACCTAAGATTTCTACTTTTAACACTGCTGTAGCAAAGTCATGAAACACATTTTCTACAATATTCCAAATTCTTTTGATCTTAAATATGAGTATATAACAGATTTGTTTAAATAATTCTCAGGGCTTCATGCCAATTCCACAAATAATTTCATGTGGTATATTTCAAACCAATATATATGCATTTTTTCCCAACTATTTCCTTGCAAGTTTCAGTTTCTCTCTTCCCTATATCTTAAGGAAGATGCTAAAATATTTAACATAAGAATGAAAACTTCTATCACCATTTTTAAACTCTCTCTTAACTCATAGCAGTCCTAATGCATTTCATGCAACCACCTTTAATGCATGCGAAATATGACATTGGTTACTATATATTGACACATATTGGATAGAGCTCTCATAAAACTCCTCCTAAACTTGAAAGGGCTAATCCATTCTGAATTCTATCCATTAGCAAGGTGTTAAGACAATTTGGCATTAGTAACTTGAACCATAAATCACCTGTCCTACCATTAAAGTAAGCTTTAAGGGAAAAACAAGTTCCTTTAATAAGCAAAGGACATGAATTTAAGGAAAGCATCTCTTAAACTACAGCAAGTCCATATCTTCTCCTACTATCCTGATTCGTAACCATAAAGAAATGCACAAATTCTTAACTGACATAACTCGCAATCAATGCTAATTACAAAAGCCTTGAAGTAACTATCCCTTAAAACTAGTTTCCAGTTCAATGTATCACAGTCATAGCCCCATATTCATAATTAGGTCAAATTTAAGTTTAATTAGAAAGCCTAATTGATATTTATCTCAATACAAATATATGGAATTAAAGAAACGATTCAACCACCAAATACTCTTAGATTCATCCAAATCTTTTCTTAAGAAAAAACCATATTTTTGTATCGAAAAATGGTTATTTTTTAATTACATAAATAAAAAACCTAAAAAAGTATAAATAGTACTAACCTAACAGCTTCAGCAGCTCCTTCCGGAGAAATCGTCGCCGTAGGCGACGGCGGTAGCAACGGAACGGCAGAATTTGAATCCGACGCGGTCGATTTTTTGGCTCTCCCTTTAATAAATTTAGAGAAAATCGTTCGGCAGACGGACAAAGCGGAGAGAGCGGAAAAGGCGAGCCAGATTCGGCGAGCTCCGAACCCGGGAGGAACGGTCCAGATGAACCGGAACTTAGACCGGAAACCAAGAAAAACCAAACTGGTCCACCTAGGACGCCAAGACCAGCCGATCACGAGCCCAATCATTACGGCTAGCCATATCGGCACTGCGCATAGCAAAATGTCGACGAATGTTTCGGTTATCGTAGGTTTCTTAAAGAACTCCATTAGATCGAAGAACGTCTCGTCCATTTTATCGCCAAAAGATAAATAATTTTAGGTGTTTGTTTTTAGTCGGCGAGATAATGGAGCTGAATCTGCCTCCACGGGAGATCAAGGAAGAGCTTTTCTCCGCGGTAGAGGATAGAAATAGAAACGTTTTTTCTGTATTTTTCTTTAACTTTTTTTGAGCGGGGTTGGCAGTTGACTGGGACAAAGCAGATATGACGTGGCATCTGGTGATGTGTTTGGTTACGTGAATTGAGGCGCGTTTTACAAAGTGGCAAGGGGATTTTGCTGAGTGTGTTTTGCACGCAAAAGTGGGAGAGTGAGATTGAGGGGATTTCGGGATGGGATTGTTTAAGGAATTTGGTTTAGGTTGGCCGGTCGGGGAGTGGATGGCATCGCCAAGGACAATTCAGCGCCTGTCAGCGTTTCAAGAAAAATTTCTTTCTTTCGGAGAAAGAAAATCACAAATGAAAATCCATTTTATTATTTATTATTAGCCTTAGACTCACGCATATCCATTCTAGGAGTGAAATTAAAAAAAAAAAAAGTTGATTATGTAGATAAATATTAAAAGAATAAAATTGATTTTATAATTATTTTAAAATGCAAAAAATTTAAAATAATTACGGTTTGATTTTTTTAAATAAAAAATAAATAAAGTAGATTTGAAAATCTTTTCAATCAATTTCCGAAAAAAATGCAATTATCATTATAATCTTATTAATATAAATTTTTTGAATTTTTATTTTATGACAATAATATTTATAAAAAAATTTTAATTTTAAATATATTTTAAAGTTAAAAGTATTTGCTTTTTATGATTTTAAGATTTTAAAATTGATTTTTTATAAAATGTTACTACGGAGTTTACCAAAAGTTTATATAAATTATATATTGACATGCTTCAAATATAAAACTCTATATTTTACCTCAAAATTACATTTAAATTATTTTATTATTTTATTATAAGCATTCGATGGTTAAAAAAATATAATAATTTTTTTCCTCCTAAAACTTTTAACAGATAATCATAAATAATTATTTATATCGACTTGATTTGATATAAACAGTATCACTTCAATTCGATGCTATTCTAATTATTTTCTTATGATTCTATTTTTTTGCTTTCTAAAAGTTGCATGATAATGAAAATTTCAAATTATGTGCTAATTATATTTAATAAAAAATATCATAATTAAAGAAATAAACAATCAGATTTTAGTTTCATTTATAGTTATTTTCTCGTTATCATTTTTAAAATTATTGTTTCTTCTTTAAAAACAGTTTGAAACATAATTTTCTATTAATAGAGTATTTAATTATTTCAAAAATTGAAGTATGACGGTAAAATTTTTGTAAAATTAGAAATATATTAAGATAAAATTAAACCAACTGAAAATTTATGATAAATTTGAGTAAATGTGCACTTTATTTGTTTTGATTTGTTGGATTTACGTAACGTTTTATCTAATAATTTTCCATGAATTAATTAGGCATTGAAAATGACAGGTACCTGCTGTTAATATAATTATAGTCTATGATTTCAATGTTTGAAACATCATCACAAGTAAAACCCAAAAGGGTAGAAAACAATATAAATGATAGTAACCTAACAGCAATGACAACCTTTTTAAGGTGATAGTAGGTATGGGAATTCATATATTTATATAATTTATAATATTAAAATTTGTGTATTCATATAATATTTTTTATAAAAATTATGTATTATAATTTATGTTGATATAAAAATATATAATATATTTTTTTATTAAACTTATATATAATTATTGTTACAATTTTAAATTGTGTCATTTTCGTGTTTTATTTTCGTATTATATTTATATTATATCATTATATCATATTTTAAATTATCAGATTATCTTATAAGATTTCATTAATTGGTATTAAACAATTCTCCAATATTGCAATTCAGATCATGAAAAGAACATAAATAATTCTTTATATGCATATTCAGCCCTACCACTTTGTTTTTTTTTTTGTTTGCATAACCATACCCTTACTCCATCTTCTCATTAATTACCAAAACCAAACTTGGAAGAACTTATATTGATTTCTGAATCCCAAGTTGCTATATCAGATTAAAGAGTAGTAGTTGTTGTTGTTTTACACTTTAAATTCATTCTCATGATTTATAATGCAGTAAATGGTGTAGCATAGGGCTAAGAAGGTTAGCCAAGCAGACCCATAAGCGAAGCAGAGGTTTTTTCATGAACAAATCTGACCCCACATTGGCTAGGAAACTGACCTAACCCGTATGGCATTGAAAGGTCAGGCGTGGGATGGACAAACACTAAGGAGCTGGTTATGATGATCGCAGTCTTAAGGTGAGAAAAAGGAGTAAATTCAAAGCTTAACTTTGATGGGATTATCTCCCTCTTCCTTGACTCTCCAAGTTTATATTCTTTGCAACTCTTCACAAGCAAAGCTGATTTGGAAAAAAAAAAAAATCAACTACAAAAAGATGAAACACAACTTTTGTTTCTTGTTTTGTTTTTTCTTTTTTTCTTTTCAGTCATGTTTTACACAATCACACTAGCCCATATCCAGTTGTTTTTTCAACTAATTTAGTGAAAATAAAGAAAGGTCGGCAGACTTAGGGTGCAATTGGAACTAAAATACGAAGAAAGATGTTTTCCAATAGTTTGTTCCAAAATGCTCAATTTTTTTCCGAAGACTAGACCTAGTGAAATGAAGTTCTAGCAATAATTAGTAGTACTTTCAAGAAAAGGGCATTGAAATTTAAATTCAAAAGTGTTTAAATGTTATCTTTTTAATAGTGACTGCACAAACTAACTAAATTAAGGTTCAGATTCACATATATATTTTTTTGTACATATGATCACAATTTTCTCATCAAAATAAGTGGCTATACATGTATTCTTTTGCTAGAATTATATTTCACTGATTTCATAGCAACTTGCTTGATTGCAATGTAGACTCTTCTCAATGATCAACATGAATTTAACAATGTAAGAACAATGCTGTTTGGAGCATTTTTAGATATAAAAGGTAATTTGATTATCTTCCCTCGTTAGAAATTATCAATAAATAATCAAGAGTATTTTAAATTTTTGGATCAATTTAACATTTCAGATTGACTTGAGGTTACAGTGTTACATCAGCTCGATCACCTCATCAATTTGCTTAATGATCCTCTCTCAACACTGATTTATCATCCTTCAAGTGAACAATTAATGTCTAAATTAGCTCGATTTGCCACATCATCCCTGATATCATCCCTGATTGCATGGTTGACTTTTAGTAGCCTCGCATCCCATCTATAAATAGGGTCATCCAAGTACCATCTAAACATCTCTTACACACCCATCTTTTAATCTCTCTATTCTCCTTCTTATTCTCCTCTTCAATTGATCTCTGACTTGAAACGTCAGAGCATAAATGTTGAGGAGACCTTAGCTTTTATCCTTAACCGCTCTATTTCTCTCTCGTGATTTCATGGTCTTATCCCTCCATGTCAGCTTAGCACAAACAAATGCTTTTACATATCACTTGACCACCCAAATTTCTTTAGGAATTCTAGTGAATATATGCCTCTTTGAACCTTTTCCTTTTCCTGTATAAGCATTCTTCTTAAAAAAAATTCATATAATATCTAGATTCTAGGCAAAAATCAAGAGTAAAAATTCCCTTAAAATTTACTTCAAAGCAAATAACAGCATTATATATACTTGCTTTAGATTCTTGAATTTTTCCATATTCTATCGTCTCTTAGCCGAGATTGTTCGAAGGCTACAAATAGATTGAAGAAAAAAGATATATAATTATGTAAGAAAGCAAAACATGAATTTTAATGCTTAATAAACCTTGAAAATATTAACAAAAACAAAATGTATTAGCCTGTTGAGATTTTCATGATTGTATATATCCATAGTAGAAGGGAATGAAGTCTGGTCCGAGATCATTCTGATGAAGTCTAGACCTTCAAATCAATGGTCTCGAACAAGACGGCATTCCCCTCAACTGTTTTAAGGGTTATATACGTGAGGATGAGTTTCTCCTTATGTGGGTCAGATGACATAGAATCCTGCTTTCTACAGCTTCCCTATCGTGCTTACACATTGATTTCTAGTTTTTCAACTTCCATGTTTAGTACCCGTTTTGATTCTACCGCATCATTAATTGAATTTAAATGTTAACTTTGATGAAATTGAGTCAACATAAATATTTTATTGAAAATTTTTTTAATCATAATTATAATAAATTTTTTTCAATCGCAATTACATTAATTATTATTATTATTTTTAATATTATCACAACCAATTTCATCATCTATTAAAATGAAGCTTTAATCTACTTTCTAGGCTGCATTTGACTTGAAAGTTAAAGACCCCTCTTAGCAAAACAACTATCAAAAATAAATATGGAAAGGTCATTGAAACTTGAAAATACTTGTAAGCTGTGCCCTCAAATGACCATCACTTTAACTTTATGTTCCCTTACTTTGATTCGGCGAAACAAGAATTTGAATATAGCTCTTTGAGCCAGGGATTCGTGAACTAGATTTAATTTGATCAAATGCTCGGATGCATTAGGATTTCACTAAAATTTTTTAAATTGGTATGATAGTTTTATTTGACTGAATGCTCGTTTGGATGAACAATTAGCATCGTATTTTTTCAAATTTTATGTAAAAGTGCATTAATTCATTGTTTAGATAAAATGGTGAAGGACGATGTGCTCCAACTATTCACTAGAACGAAAATAAAAAACTTTTCCTTCCCACTGCAACACACATTCCAATTTTAGCAATTATATTTTTGTCTTTTACCCTTACAATTATAATTATTTTCATGTGATTTAATTTTGATTTTTTCCTTGTTATTTTCTATCTAAAAATTTTAAAATAACTTCATTGATTTAACATAATAATTAATTTTTTATTATATAATAAATGAATTTTATTATTATCTAATAAATATTATTTATTAATATTTTGATTGAATAAAAATAAAATTTAAATATTGTAAATAATATTAAAAAATATATATAAATAATTTACTAATGCACTTATAGAGTAAAGTTCTTAAGGTCATTTTTATTGAAAAACTAGATGAGTGCCCTGCGTTTCACTGCAAAAACATAGTAGAAGCGTAATCAATAATGAAAAACAATAATGTGATTATATTTAAAAATTGGTAATGTTATTAAATTTTTTTAAAAATAAGAATGTATAGGAGGAATAAGTAAATATATTGAATCACGATATTCTAACTACTTGAACATTTAAATTCGTAGATTACAAAGATAATAATAGGATATCAATTAATTAATTTATAAATTACAAAAAAAAAAAATTAAAGTTATATATCATGTTATTATGAATCCTTCTTCCACCCTATATTTTGTTGAAAATTTCCTTAACTCTTTCACAAAAGCAAGTGGCACTTGATTGTTAGCAAATTCAATTACAACTATGAAGGTTGCAGCACCAAATTCATTTGATAAAATAAGTACATGAAATATATATTAAAGAAATTAGGACTTATGAAAGTAAGTAAATCATTTCTTGATTAATTTCTTTACACCAAAAATTAGAATATAGATATATGATTAAAATAAATATGTTTAGAAGGGAAAAATATAACTTCCTTTCTCTTTCTATTATGAATATGATAAAATAGCTTTGAAACTAAAATCAATATGCACACACTTATGAGCACTTACAACCATTAAGAAGCCAAGAAGCAATAGCTGTTTCACTCCCTCAGCTTACATGATAATCAATAAGTGAAGGAGCTTGACCAATCCCAATGAGGGAAGTAGCTGAAAGAGAAGCGGAAAGGGACATCTTGAACTTTGTGGGAAGGGACCTTAACGACAACCAAAGAAGTGCGTGCATTTCCCGATCAAAGAAGCCCTTGAACTCACCTTCATTCAACAAAGAAACTTCACGCATGAACTCTCCTCGGGATTGGACTCTTTCTGACAGCCCTTTTGCCAGCGTAGCGCATTGATTGGCGCATTGAAGTGGGGAATGAAAAAGACAGAGTGGCCGCAGGAAAGGAACTGGCTTCATACTATAGTTGTAAAGGGCCCGGAATGAAAGACATTATTGTTAATAAATTCATTGTTAATCAGCTCTGATACCATTTGTCACGGGTCGAGACTCAAGCTTCGAATCCGCGCGGCTCCGGGACTCGGGAATTCACCCTTCCGGCGTCTCGGATCAGTCTAACCGCCACGGTTCACACCCTTGTGAGGTATTGTCCGCTCTGGCCCCCCTGGCCTCACGGTTTTGTCCTACAAAAGGCGCCTCATAAGGCGGAGATGGTGTGAACCCTTTTATACCTCAGTGACCCTCCTATTATGTTCGATGTGAGATTCAGGACTCCTCCTTAGGTCTGTGACATTCTCCCGCACCCAACCTCGTGACGCCCTCGTCACGGAGGTTGGCCACCCTGCCTGCCTCCCTTTGAGGTGCTCGGCGTGGATCGAACGGTATAGGGTTCGCTCTGATACTACTTGTTACGCCTGAAGCAATAATCACAACAATACAGAAGCAATAGACAACAATCAATAATCAAATGCGCAGGAAAAATAAAGCACACCAAGATTTACGTGGAAAACCCTCCAGTGTAGAGGGAAAAACCACGGGCCACCAGAAAAATCTTCACTATCAAATAATAGTTATACAAAGTTCTTCTCTAGCTAAAACTAGAGCTAATCAACAACTAGAGAAACAATTGGAGAAATCTCACCAAATAAGTGACTCAACAAATACACCCTGGATTTGTTCCTAGAGAGCTTCAAACCCGATCTTCACCGTTCAGAATGTATAACTCTGAATCATAAACCTCCTGACAAGGTTCCAACTCAATCGGACCACGGATCGACTTCCGTTTAACCAACTCTCCCTTCTCCTTTTTCTCTCTCTGCTTTTCCTGGCTTTTCTTCTTTCTCTGCTTGGTTGTCGACACACACCTTAAACAACCCCACCTTTTTTTTATTAAGTAGCTAGGGCTCTGTGTAAAATAAAAGATCAAGGCCCATGACCTTTACTTGGTCCAAAACTACTTACATGGGACTGGACCCCATTTTCCTAACAATCTCCCCCTCCAGCCCCATTAGGAGGAGATTCATCACCATAGCAGTTTCATTTGGAACTTACCTTGGCCAGGGAACTCATTTCGACCAAGTTACTGCAAAGCTTAAGCTTTTCCCTGGGAAGTATCTTAGTCAACATATCTGCCATATTTTTATCAGTATGGACTTTCTTCAATAGCATCTGCTGTTCTTCAATCACTGAACGTAACCAATGATATCTAACATCAATGTGCTTTGTTCTAGCATGGTACATGGTATTCTTACTCAAATCTAAAGCACTCTGGCTATCACAAAATACCACATACTCTTTCTGATTCAACCCTAATTCAAAAAGAAAACGTTTCATCCAAAGCATTTCTTTACATGCTTCAGTTGCTGCAATATACTCAGCCTCTGTAGTTGACAAAGCAACACACTTCTGCAACTTAGACTGCCAAGATACAGCTCCTCCTGCAAAAGTGAACAAATACCCTGAAGTAGATTTCCTACCATCAAGATCGCCTGCCATGTCAACATCAGTAAACCCTTCTAGAACTGGTTGTGAAACTCCATAAGTCAAGCACATTTTTGAGGTACCCCTCAAATATCTAAAAATCCATTTCACTGCTTCCCAATGAACCTTTCCTGGATTAGAAGAAATCTGCCTGCACTACACCAACTGCATGAGCAATGTCAGGCCTATGTATCAAACCATAAGATACATTAAAGATCCGACTGCCAGAAGAATAAGGAATACTAGACATTAGCTAGTTGCTCTTTCTTAGACACTGGACAAGAGTTTCTTACTTAGGTGAAAATGGTGGCAAGTTGTAACTACCTAACTGATTTAGCATTGTTGCATGTTGAATCTACTCAAGCACTTCGTTCAACATACTTTTCCTGTGACAACCACAGCTTTCCAGCTCTCTTAGTCTCGGATAATGTCCATTACCAAGAATCTGCTTTGCCTGGACCTAAATCCTTCATATCATAAGGACTTAGACAATTGTTCTTTCAACCTGCAAACCATACTAGCATCTTGTCCTACATCAACATATCATCAACATATAATAATAGGATATTGAGTACCATTAGGGAATTGTTTAATATACACACAAGAATCTGCTGCTGTTCTTTTATAGCTATGACTCACCATAAAAGAATCAAACTTCTTGTACCACTGTCGCGGAGCTTGTTTCAAGCCATACAAGCTTTTCTTCAATTTGCAAACTAAGTGCTCTTTCCCTTTCACTTCAAAACCCTCAGGCTGATTCATATAAATGTCCTCCTGCAAATCACCATGCAAAAATGCAGTTTTAACATCAAGTTGCTCAAGCTCAAGATTCAAACTAGCTGCCAATCCCAGTACCACTCGAATAGAACTCATTTTTACAACTGGAGCAAAAATCTCATCAAAATCGATGCCTGGTTTCTGAGAAAAACCTTTTACTACCAATCGAGCTTTGTACCTCACTAGTTTGTCACCATCCTTTTTCAACTTGAACACCCATTTATTCTTTAATGGCCTCTTCCCTGTTGAAAGTTTAACAAGATCATAAGTACCATTCTTTCGCAATGACTTCATCTCTTCTTTCATTGCTTTTAACCAGTGCTCTCTATCCGGAGTAGTCTGCACATCTTGAAAGCTTTCTGGCTCCCCTTCACTGGTAACTAAAATAAAATCTGAACTTGGATACCTGGTAGATGGCCTGCGCTCTCTAGTAGATCTCCTGAGCTGAGACTCTACATCACTTGATGCTGAAGGTAGCTCCCCCTGCTCAACACTCTCAGGTAGAGAGGATTACTCCCCCTGCTCAAAACTAATAGCATCTGGCTCATCACCAACTATGGCTGGCTCATTCATATCCCCAAGTTCTGTTTCTGGCTCATTTTCACCATCTGTGGCTCTTTCCTGTGAAATCTCTGTCGGTGTTGAAACATCACACTCAACAGTAACTTGTGTAGTTTTCTCATTTTTCTCAAGGTCTGCTATGGTTTCTTTTTCATGAAAGACCACATCTCTGCTTCTGACTGTCTTTCTCTTTACTGGATCCTATACCCTGTAGCCAAATTCCTCATCACCATATCCTACAAACACACACTGTGTAGCTTTACTATCAAGCTTTGACCTCTGCTCTTTTGGTACATGCATGAATGCTTTACACCCAAAAACTTTTAAGTGAGAGTATGAAGCATCTTTTTCTGTCCACACTCTTTCTGGAATGTCAAAGCCCAAAGGAACTGATGGTAACCTGTTAAGTAAATAACAAGCTGTGTTGACTGCTTCACCCCAGAATGGCTTTGGTAATTTTGCCATCCTCAACATACATTTGACTTTTTCCACAATGGTGCGATTCATTCTTTTAGCTATACCATTATGCTGCGGTGTTCCAGGTTCTGTCCTCTCATGCCTGATCCCATGCTTTGAGCAATACTCTTCAAAGCTTTTAGATGTGTATTCCCCACCATTATCAGTTCGAATACACTTCAAGGGTAACCCTGTCATCCTTTCAACCATGGCATGAAATTTTTAAAAATACTGCAGTACCTGACTTTTATATTTCAACATATACACCCAAGTCTTACGTGAAGCATCATCAATAAAAGTAACAAAATATCTGCTACCACCTAATGACTCAACCTCAATGGGACCACATACGTCAGAATAAATTAATTCCAATCTATTTTCTTTTCTCTGAGAACTTTTACGAAAAGAAACTCTATGATGCTTACCAAACAAACAATAATCACATGAATCGAGAGACATACCTTTGGTCAAGGGAATGAGAGAGTGCCTTGCCAAAACCTGTAACCTTTTTCACTCATGTGTGCCAGCCTCCTGTGCCACAAGTTTGCTGAAGCATCATTTTCAACGGTATTTACCTGGTTACCGTTCAATTGCATCCATGTCTTATACATTGTGCAGCATAGTTTTCCCCTTGCAACTACCATAGATCCTTTGAGAAGCTTCCACTGTCCATTCTTTTGTCGGCTTTCATATCCCTCCTTATCAAGGACATTAATAGCAAGCAAGTTCATTTTCATATCTGGAATGTATCTGACATCCCTTAAAGTCAACATGCAGCCTGTACTAGTTTGTACAACAATATCACCAATCCCAACAATCTGCGACACACTCTTGTTTCCCATCTTGGTACAACCAAAGTCTCCTGCTTTGTAAGTTGTAAACAACTCTCTCTTAGGAACACAATGATATGCCGCTCCTGTGTCAACTATCCACTCAATGTCGGGATCACTAACATGATTACAATCACCATGTGTACAAATCAAAGTAACTGAATCACTATCTGAATTCACTGCTGCAACATTGCCATCATCTGAACTCTTGCCTTTCTCATCTTTTCGCTCTTGCTTTAAGATTTTACAGTTTCGTTTTATATGACCCGCCTTACCACAATGGAAACACTTCACTTTACCTCTAGACTTGGATCTATGTTTAGACTTACCACGGCCTTTTGAGTCCTGACCTCTGTCGATGTTTCTACCCCTGTTCTCTGTGACCAGAGCTTGATTCCCAGGGTCTACATCTTTTCGCCTCGCTTCTTTATTAAGCATACTGTCCTTTACCATCTCCAATGTCACCTTATAATCAGGAGCTGAATTAAGAACAGTCACAACTAGAGTATTCCAGCTGTCTGGCAATGAACCCAAAAGAAATAATGCCTTCATTTCATCATCCATCTTAAGTTCCATAGTAGTCATCCGATTAAATATATCTTGAAAATCACTCAAGTGCTCTGTAACAGATCGTCCATCCCTGTACTGTAAAGTTGCAATCTTCTTAACAAGCATAACTTTATTCATACCTGTTTTTCTCTCATACAATGCTGCCAAGTTTTCCCAAACAATGTGAGCATCTGACTCCTGTGCTACATGATGAAACACGCTGATATCAACCCATTTTTTGATTGTAGCCAGCGTCTTTCTACCTAGCTTTTTCTAGCTTTCATCTTTCATATCTGCTGGTTTAGCCGAATCACCCAATACTGGCTCATACAAATCTTTGCAGTATAGATGATCTTCCATCATAGGCTTTCAAATTGAATAATTTGATGCTGTCAATTTTAGCATGGAACCTGTATCACCCTCCATGATCTCAAACAGAATTTACTTCTATCCTGGGTTGCTTCTGTATCGATGTCTCAAAATAACCCTCGCTCTGATACCACTTGTTGCGCCTGAAGCAATAATCACAACAATACAGAAGCAATAGACAACAATCAATAATCAAATGCGCAGGAAAAATAAAGCACACCAAGATTTACGTGGAAAACCCTCCAGTGTAGAGGGAAAAACCACGGGCCACCAGAAAAATCTTCACTATCAAATAATAGTTATACAAAGTTCTTCTCTAGCTAAAACTAGAGCTAATCAACAACTAGAGAAACAATTGGAGAAATCTCACCAAATAAGTGACTCAACAAATACACCCTGGATTTGTTCCTAGAGAGCTTCAAACCCGATCTTCACCGTTCAGAATGTATAACTCTAAATCATAAACCTCCTGACAAGGTTCCAACTCAATCGGACCATGGATCGACTTCCGTTTAACCAACTCTCCCTTCTCCTTTTTCTCTCTCTGCTTTTCCTGGCTTTTCTTCTTTCTCTGCTTGGTTGTCGACACACACCTTAAACAACCCCACCTCTTTTTTATTAAGTAGCTAGGGCTCTGTGTAAAATAAAAGATCAAGGCCCATGGCCTTTACTTGGTCCAAAACCACTTACATGGGACTGGACCCCATTTTCCTAACAGAAAGGAAGGAATTGGTATTGGTACCGCTTTGCCTTGCTTGGCACCTTTCCTTCGCTTGCTTCCTTGCATGGACAGCTACCAAGCCTTACCTCTTGACTTTAAATTCATTGGATGATTGTATCATTAACCATTTCTTTATTTTGGTGCGAGGAACTTATCATGAATCCACTGGTTTCTGCCGCTTCCGTTATTGCTGCTGGGTTGGCTGTCGGGCTTGCTTCTATTGGACCTGGAGTTGGTCAAGGTACTGCTGCGGGCCAAGCTGTAGAAGGTATCGCAAGATTTTTAATAGAGGCAATGGAATAGGAATTAGCTTTTAGAGCTATGTAGATAAGATTTTTAAAATTTAAATAAGATCTAGCTGACTTTTCTCTCTTTCTCTTGATTACAGTTTATTTTTGAGTAGACATCCATTATATTTTCAATATCACATGACCTTTATATTTAGTGCATTAAAATACAAAAGTATTGCAATAGTAAAGAATTACAGATAAAATTATATACAAGTTAGGTTCGAACAATAAGGTCGTGTCCAAGAAAAAAAATTGGTTTAACCATCCGAGGTTTTAATTTTGGCGAGTTTGTTTCTATAGTAAAAAAACAAACTATTGGACGAGCCTATGTTTAATTGGGCCTTCGAGCCTTCTTCGGAGCTGTTGGGTCTTAATCCATGATTTGCTAAGAAACGCCATCTTGACTTGGAGCTTGCAAACCACTGCTAGAAACAAGATAGCCAACGCTGTCCGCCGTCGTAACCGCCAAGCCCTTCCACCTCTTCGACTAAATAAAGATCCCTCAAATCGACCGAATAACTCCATTCAATAAAAAAGGTTAGGTTTCTTCTATTCATTTTATCTGTTGACATCTATGCTGATGTATTTCATTACAATTGGCAACAGCGGTTGTGGAGATAGAAGCTGCAGCAGAAGTTTCTATTGTTCTTGACAAGGGAACTTGATCTTTTCTTTTTTTTAAAGAGTGGATAGATGGTTAAGATCGACTCAGCTGTGTAGCAATAAACTGTGCATTTTCATGTTATGGTTTGGCCGGAGTGCTTTTGTCATCCATGTGATTCTAAAAGCGAAGTTTTGTCTCGGGGCAATTAATGAAGCTGAAGATGAGTGAGCCAGCAAAACGCCACAGAACTTGATCTGTGACATCTATGCTTGACGTATTTCATTTACAATTGGCAACAGCGCGTTTGTGGAGTAGAGCTGCAGGCAGAAGTTTCTATTTTCTTGACAGGGAAACTTGATCCTTTTTTTTTTTTTTAAAGAGTGGATAGATGGTTAAGATCGACTCAGCTGTGTAGCAATAAACTGTGCATTTTCATGTTATGGTTTGGCCGGAGTGCTTTTGTCATCCATGTGATTCTAAAAGCGAAGTTTGTCTTGGGCAATTAATGAAGCTGAAGATGAGTTGAGCCAGCAAAACGCCAAGAACTTGATCTGTTGACATCTATGCTGATGTATTTCATTACAATTGGCAACAGCGGTTGTGGAGATAGAAGCTGCAGCAGAAGTTTCTATTGTTCTTGACAAGGGAACTTGATCCTTTTTTTTTTTTAAAGAGTGGATAGATGGTTAAGATCGACTCAGCTGTGTAGCAATAAACTGTGCATTTTCATGTTATGGTTTGGCCGGAGTGCTTTTGTCATCCATGTGATTCTAAAAGCGAAGTTTGTCTCGGGCAATTAATGAAGCTGAAGATGAGTTGAGCCAGCAAAACGCCAAGAACCTGATCGACACAAGTGAGAAGGGATTGCGTGGTTCAATTCCCAAAAAGCTTCCCATACTTCCCTGTTGAATTTGGTCTAAACAGGAGGCGCGGCTGTCGACGATTTTAGGTGCGACTTATTAAGTTTTAAATAATATATTAGTATCCATAAATTATTTAAATTTTATTTAAATAAGATTTAAATTTAAATTAATTATAAATTAATTATTATTAATTTGAGTTTAAATAATTTAATTTATTTATTGAGTTAAATTTAAATATTTTTATATTTAATTTGAATAATTTATAAATTTAATTCTAGCTGATTCTAGCTACAAAACCACAAAACAATACTACATTTTATTTTCCAGTGAAAATATAAAGTCGATGGATTTTAATAGATTTGATAATTTTGGATTAACATAAAAATCGATATAATTTTAAAATATTTAAAGATTTATATAAATTAATAAAAATAAAAATATATATATTATAACACAATAATTTTTATATTATAATTTTAGCGCTCCATGTTATGCACGCTTTGTCGTTTAGACGGACAGTAAAAAACTTTCACAAATTATGGTGAGAATTCAAATTATTGTTAGAATTCAATGGTCAGAATTCACACAGATCCAACGGTCAAGACATCATAGACAACTTTATAAAAATACCACACTAAACCTTCCCAATCCCCTCATTAACCCTAGATCTATACCCTCTTTGCTTCTCCGAACCCCCCACCCCCCCAAAATTCCTTCAAATACAGCCCTTTTTTCCTCTGGCTATCGAAGAATATTTTTTCGGATCCAGTTCTTTTGTTTGGACAGAGTAATCACGGTCGATTACATTTTTCCTTTGTTTGGATTGGGACAATCCGTATTTGTTTTGTTTCTTTTAACAGATTTTGTTTAATCCACTGTGTTACTCTGTCCAAACAGATGTATTGGTTCATCAAATTTTCCTCAACCTTCGATCTCTTATTTTTTTCTCTTTTGGATCTCAATTCTTGCAAGAGTGGTGAAACACGTGGTTTGGTCTGTTATGTTCGTCTCACGTTCGATTCTGGCAAGTATTGTCTTTTTTTTTTTTCTAAATTTTTGTCACTTAGAATATTAATATTTCGTTTCCTTTCCTCTCATAAGCATTGATGGGTGAGGTAGCAAGATAGAAGAACAAAGCCTTGGGCTCCAAAGGTATGGAAGAATTTGGGGTGCAGAATTGACAAAGGGGATAAGGTTCTTTGGACAACATGGGCAAGTTGAGGTACATGACAATTGCTTGTAAGTATCTTTTTCATGAGCTTTTTCATGAGTTTATTAAATGTGTATTTGATTATTTCCATCGGAGGCTGAGGGATTTGGGAAGAAGGAAGCAGACAAATGGCATCCTTGTTATTAACTTGCTAAAACTCAAACTACAACTTTGATGCTGCTGCTTAAACCCAAGCCATTGACTGTAACTGCCCATGGGCTGCTGGATAGAGCTAGATTCTGAATGGGATTTTTTTTATAGGAATGGGCTTGACTCATATAAAGCCCGATTTGGCCCAACAAAACAACCACATCGGCAAAGTTCGAAACTTTATTACTATTACATGGTTTAAACGTTCGAAAGTAATAATTTTAATTCTATAAATAAAGTTAAGAAATTGTTGTATATTTTATGTTTTAATATTTTAATATTTGTAATTATACTTTAAATATATGTGTTATTTCAATAATTCTGTTTATAGAATTTAAAATTTTCATCTTTATGATAATAATGAAAATGTGACACCTTTCTAGTTTCATAGGTTAAGTTTTTATAATAATCCTTATAATTCAATTGTTATGTATGTTAGAGAAGGAGATTTTAGTTCAACTATTTTTATACATTTTGTAATTAAATTGTTAATTAATAAAATTTCCTCTTCTATGAATAGAAAAATTAAAATACAGCCATAGAACAAGTAATACACAAATAATCATTTAATTTTGGATGATTTATATTATGACATAATTAATGTAACAAGTTCATAAAAAAAGTCTTATTGCATTTTAATTTGAAAGCATATTTGAATTGGCTAAATACTCAAATTAAGACTAAAGGTTTTGGTAGTTATTTAATTCAAGACTAAACGTTTTAATTTATACAAATAAAGGTAAAATGTTATTGATTTGTAATAATGTAAAATTTATTTCAATGAAAAATGAGATACTAATGTTATGCATCGTTAAGTTGCTCACATGTAAAAGCTATATTAAAAAATATATATAATGTAGAATATAATGCGAAATTAACTTGATCATGTATAATGACAAGTGGAAAAAGTTGGTGTTTGTTTTTCTAAGCTTATTTTCATTTTTCTTTATCATTTTTGTTTGTATCATTAGAGAGCTTGAGCGTAAGGTTTACAAGCTGTAAGTCTTTTTCTCGTTTATTCTCGTTTTTTATCGTAAATTGAAAAAAGTTTTTCGTTTTAATAATATTTGAACATAATGTTTTTTTCAAATATCAGTTCATCTAGTAACGTAAATTCAAAGTTAGTATAAATTTGGGTTTTCTCATACTTTGATTTTTTTTAATTTGTTATTCAAAATATTAAAATTGTAAGGTTTTTAAAGGAGGGTCTTATGATATAAACTCGTATAAGTTAATATTAGCTAGTTACCCTGTAGACTTCGAAGGAGAACCCATTTTCTATTATTGCAATATAAAGGTAGCTATGTGGACTTCATAGACGAATAGCAATTCTGGTAGAAGATTTTATGGATATCTATATTATTTGATAAATTTGCTATTATATCTTTGGTGTTTTTTTCTGATATTTGTTTGCTGATATTTCTTTGGTGTGATTGTTGAAATTTGTTTGTTGATTTTTTTTTTTTGGTGTGATTATAGGGCATGTTTGTGGATTTCATTTATGGCATGATTCTAAAATTTCTGAAAGAGCAACAGAGATTATTTTGGAACTGAAAAAGAAAAATTTTTATATAGTCATGTTCATGGTTTGAAATAGAAAGTTTCAAAATTTAAAGGAAAATATTGGTGAAATTGATGTTATTGCAGAGAATATGCAACTAAAAAGAAAAGTGAGTATTTTGAGGTTGAAATTGAAAGAAAGCAGTAAAATTGTTGGTGGTGAATATGGTAGATATGGCAATTGAAAAATAATTTAGCTTATCTCATTCTTTTTTTTTATATATTTGTTTTATGTAATCTTTTTCAATGCAAAAAAAAAAAAAAAAATCTAGAAACTCAACTTGTATGCTTGATAATGGGTTAGGGTTATAAATGATATTTAAGATGTAAATGTTTGTTAAAATTTTTATTATGTCAATGGCAATTGAATCAATGTTATTAACTGTGAATTCTATTACTTTATGTTATTAGCTGTGAAAATGTGATTAAATGCAATATGTTCAACTCGCTATATACAACATGGAAAGTAATATGAGGTAATATGATAATAGTGGCAATCTGTTAATGAAAATGAATAAATAACATGTTTTGTTTTATAACAAAGCAATTTGATGAATATCAATAGAACATCTTTTTTACACAACATTTAGTATAGAAAACATTCAGCCAATATAAGGTTGA